CTCTATTGGATTAAGGTCAGGTGAATTTGGGGGCCAAGACATGACTTGAAAGTCACTGGAATGTTCCTCGAACCAATCCATGACGATTCGACCCTTATGACATAGTGCATTATCCTGTTGATAAACACCATCCCCCGCAGGAAAAACTGTTGCCATGAATGGGTGAACCTGGTCTGCAACTATATTGAAGTAGCTTACAGAAGTCAGGGATTGTTCTATGAGGATTATGGGTCCTAATGTACCCCATGAAAACATTGTTCCTGGGCGAGAAACCATGAAAACCTGGGCGAGCCCATTGTTATAGATGGAGGGTGGTCATAATGTAATGGCTCTTCGGTGTATTTCCTAATGTTAACGAAGTAGCTGTAAAATATTTTCTGAAAAATCTCATTGCTAAGTAGTATTTGAAAATGAAAGTAATCCAAAATTAAACAATGTAGCTTTTCTGATTGAAATAATGTTCGACTTCAAAACGAATTGTTTCATCTTCAATTATAACTCGTGTACCTCAACTTTTATTTAATAGTGGACACTAGGTTAAATGTCGAAAAAAATAAATTTCAGGATTTGTTTTAAAAGATGTTCACATTGCTGAAATTTGAATGCATTTGAATCTTTTTGCATGAATTTTTTTAAATATTTAATTGCATTTGAATTCTTACGACTATTTTTCATAAAAACTAAATAATGATTCATTCACCCTTGTGAACGATGTTGTTATGCTTCACCGTGCTTTCCTGAAACATCAAATTAAGATAACTCTCAAAGAAAGTATTGTCTGTCTGTAGAAAGAAATCCCCTCGCCATTCGTCTGGGGCAGTGGCGGTGACTATGGTTACGAGATTTAACTGTTTCAAGTAGGGGTGTTGAGTCAATATTTGACAGGTTAAGGTTCGGATCGACGAACGAAATGGTATCAGGGGACAAAGAAGCTCCCCTCTTTGAAATGTGCTGTGCCTTGTTTCCATAGCAGCAGGTGGCCTTAAACTTTGTGGCAAAAAGGGAGTTCTTTTTACAGATAGAGTATAATTTTCTTATTATAAACAATAATTTTAACGAAAGTTTTCTTTTTCATTTCAAAAATTATAAAAATGGCAGATTAACAGAAATTATGTTTCTGGATACAAAACCTATTTAAAAGGGATTATCAAAACTATATAATTTGTGAAATCTAAAAATTCGATAAAAGCATATCAGCAATGTATTTTAGCATCACCGTATTTCTATTTAAATCGTTTCAGTTATTTCAAATATAAAGGTAAAATTTCATTAAGACATCCTGATTTCTATATATAAGTATTCGATTTAAGCAAAATAAAATATATAAGGTGCTCTGTCACAAGTGATACACAACCATATTTGTTGTGAATGATTACAGCACTCTCTGTAGGGAAGGCAGAAATTCGTTGAGCCGTTTACACTTTATACATCAACTCTATTCTTATACCCGAGATTGACCATCATTTTTCATTACTATTTTTCCTCAAATGCTGAAAATAAAATGCGTTTTTTAAAGACAGCGCCTATTAACAGTTTTTTTCCGACAGTTTCTGCACTTTTTGGCAGATTAATAACTAAAAAAAAATATTCTCTTTGTTTTACTAATTATTATAATAACTTGCTTTAAAAAGATTTTCTTAATTTTTTATTTTTTTAATAAGTAAATTTCTTAAACTTTAAAATCGATTTAAAAATTTTTCGGTATTCTGTAATTCTGAATTGATATTCTGTTGAAACGTAGAAGAAATTTTGCGGCTAGCAGGGCAAACTACTTGCGCTAAGCAGTGAACTACTTGCTTTACGACAACTGTATAAAATACAAAAAAAAGTAACTCTATCTTTTAAATTAATAGAGTAAATTAATTAGGCGTTTAAGTACAAACTTAATAAATATTTTTTACAGCTGCTCTAGTATATATGTGACAGAAAAAAAATTTTTTTTCATTAATTTGGACGTTAAATCTGTCAGTTTATAAAAATAACTCGCAACTAAAATGACACAATGAAACTTAACAAGGTCATATTTTTATTCTTAATCATTAATCTGTTTTACGAAGGAAAAACTATTTCTTTTAAATTATCGGAAAAAGTATATCTTTCTGTTTAAAATTGTATTTCGCAACTCTGTGATCTCTCGCTGTACTTACCGAATGGATGATGCAATTAAAGCTGTTAATATTTTTCCTTATTGAAAATTATACTCCTCATGTTTAATATGCAATTTCGTATAAGGAAAATTTTCGTTGTTTTATTATTATTTTTTTGTGTACCATTTATTTTGGGTAAGCTTCTTTCAATTCTTTTCACCAATTTATGAAAAAAATTTATTTAACTTGAGAGAACTTTTGTGTTATACCTTAGCAATCATACCTCAATCTTAGCTATGGTTGATACTTGCTACAAAATGCGTACTTGCACCTTTTGTAAATCCGACAAATTAAAAATAATATTTTATTTTTTAATTTGATTTTTAAGCAATTGCAAATGCTTGTTACGTGACATATTGAATATATTCTGATTCACAAACAGGTTACAAAAGTTTAGTTTTTAAATGTAATGCTATAATAAAATAAAAAAATATAGCAAAAAAGAATATTTAATAGGAAATAAAAATAAATATTGAACACTAAAACTCACTGTTTTTTTAATTTATTTATTTATTATTTATTTTGTGTATTCATAGCATATTTAATTTTAAGAATTTCAATTGAGCATGATATTTACTAATTTGTGTAATGTTTTAAAATTTAAATGTTGTTAATAATGTAATATTTTTTCAAACATTGTTGGTTTAGTAGCTTTAATTAAATTATTGAATTTGTAAAAATTTCTGACACGCACATTAAAAATTATTTTGACGAAATAAAAAATTTGCGATGTTATTGAACAATTTGATGTATATTTTTCTTGGTACATTCCCCGAGAAAATTTCTGTCGGTAATATATTTTAATAATTGTCGGTAATAAAATATATTTTAAAAATTATGCACTAATTTTCTAAATTATCTTAGAGAATACTGTAAGCAAGAGGAATCAGATGAACACAGTTTAAAATCATTTGGCTAAAAAAGTTACAAGTAAGTTTGAAGAAATGTTTAAATGTTAAAAGTACTTCTAAAGATATTCTTTGCCTTAATTATGCAAATAAATTCAGAATTCCACGCCATCTTATTAACACTAGATTGCCTAAGGAAGTCATTTAGACTGCCTGTAATTTCAATTAGAAAAACAATGATGTATGTAATGACACAATTTCTTAGAATTTTGTGACTTTTTGTACAACATATAATTTTTTTTGTTGCTAATGTTTACTAAAAATTTGTTATATAACTGTAAATAATATAAAAAATGTTAAAAATTAATTTTAAACAAATTTATTTACGCATTCACAATCCAGTCATTTTGACTGCTTTTGGGCAATATAAGTATATACGAATTTTCCGTGTTTCTAGTGTTAATACTCCCTGCAAAACAAAGAAACTAGGACAGATACAAACAAATTCAGAATTTTTAACACAGGATTCTTCCACCTTGACACCTCCAGTAAAACAATAGAAAAAATCGTATACTGCTATGCAATAGAAAAACCAACGTAGGCGACAAAAAAGTGCGATTTTTATATTTTTGGCAATTTTTATACGCTACATAATGAAAAAAGAGTTTCAAAACTAAATTTTTGTTTTAATAGTCTTCTGAAATTTCTCGACAATTTTTCAATCAAATTTTCTCGACATCCACTATCTACTATCATTCCACTATCATTCAATCATTTTTTTGCAGTATTCCTATAGGACACTTCGTATTCCTATTAGTTACATCAGTAATTGATTGATCATTGATGGATTTCCAGTGGACAGGTAAGTGAAGTGACGTCAGCCTAAATATTTCTATAGCATGGCAGTATAATACTGCAGTAGGCAAATAATTGTCCTTCAATCTTGAAAAAATAAGTTCAGTTTATTTATTTGTTTTAGTTTATTATTTATCGTATAAAATGTAACTATTTCTCTTTCTCATCTGTAGGTAGACGAGTGACTAGAATGATCAATGGAATTGTAGCAAAACCGAAACAGTTTCCTTTTATGGTAAATAATGAATTTTTTTATTCTTTAAACATCGTCAGTAAAACAATCATTAATGTCAAAAACCACATAAATTCCCCGCCCTCAGTTAGCTACGATTTAGATTTTACGTTGAACTTAGTTATTCAAATTTTTGTTCCCAACAGAAAATTTATATTTAAAAATAAATAAAAAAATGGAAAAGTATAATCTCTTAAATAGTTCTTACAATTACAAATTATTTTATAGTTTTCGAGTACGCAAAAGAAATCGCTATTTTTCATCCGTTAAAATGAACCAAATTTAAATGCAAAAAAAAAAAAAGTTTTAAAAAAATGCAATGGTTGACTTGCAAGTCGGCAAAATATTTCAAATCGTTGAAGAACCTTCAAAAAATCAACTTTAACTCTTCTCTGCATTTTAAAAAGACTTTATTTTAAAATACAGATTCGCAAAATTTTGATAAAGTTTTCCTTTTTTCCTCGCTTAAATATTTATTACCGTCCCATGATATAGATAGTTTTATAACTTAATTTCTTACAAAGATTCAAAAAATAAAAATTAAGGGTGTTATTAACGTAACACCCTGATTATTGCAGACTGTCAGTTGTTTAGTCTAGTAGTTTATTGAAAAAAAAAACTTTTTTAATTGTATAAAAAGATGAAAACTTTTAAATCAGTCGACTTCTAAAAAGCAGAGAAGAATTAATGACAATATAGGAAGCAAAGTAACTCACATATTTATAAAAACATCATATGATTGAATATACAAGTTATATCAAAATACATATCATAAGTTCTTTTTCAAAGATATTATTAAGTTTAAAGAACTGTGAGCATAACTTAAGTCTGAGAACACAACTTGCTAACACCCGTAGAAATATTTGAATTTGAAAAGCAGCAGAAAACATTGCTGTGCAGAAACATTGCTGTTCTGAAACAACAACAGATGGCATTGCTGTTCAGAACAGCAATGCCATCTGTTGACAATATTTTTATCAGTTTTGAAACAGGGTGGAAAAAAAATTTTTTTTACCTAAGCAGAACAGCATAGTAAATCATACATTTATCTTTTCTCCTTTTTTTATTTAAATAATTTTTCAATTCTTCGATCGTGTCTGGTGCAAGGTATATTATTTAAATACTAATTCAAAATCGAAACTAAAAATCGCCTTACTAAAAATCAATTGAAAAACGCAATGACATTCACTCTAAAAGTTGTGATACTTGTGAAAAAATGTATTATTTTTCTCGTAAAAAAAACATTAAAATGGGAAGTGATTATTTAATGATTATTGAGACTATTCAACATCATTATTTTATATCTACATTTTATTGTGCTTGTCAAGAAAATATATGCAATAAATGTTCATAAGAGAATTTAAATTCTCTAATGAGAACTGACAGCATCATTCATGGAAATATGTTTGGTAAGATTCTTGCCTTTGTGCATGCACCAAAATAATCGTCACGTTTTGTAATTCGGGCAGCTAATTTACAATCCAGCAGTCTTTAGCGCAATGATTCTAAACCAATGTGCCGCGGCACTTTTGTGTGCCGCCAAATTCTTAAAATGCGCCGTCAAATATTAGAAATGATATAATAAAAATTATAATGCTTTTTTTTTATTACGAGTAAAGTTGAAAAATTTAAATTAAAGAAAAGTGTATATAGTGTATACAATATATATTTGTGGGTGATTGCCTTGTCTCTGACAATCTTAAAATAAGTTAAAATAAGAAGGAAGTGTTTAAATTGTCTTTGACACTCAATTTCAAAAAATGTTGAAATAAGTAAGAAATTTAATGACTATTAAAATTATTAATTAACAAAAGAAAGCAAGCTATGCAATTAATAGTTCTAAAAACAAATTAACAAAGGATAACTAACAAAAAAAATAAACTAACAATTAATATTTAGCAATAAAACTATTTAACAAGAAATCACAAAAAAATAATAATTAATGTAAAAAACTAATAACTATAGAAAACAAGCTAACAATTAATAACTAGCAAAAAAATAAATAACTTTTACTAATTAATAAAAAAATAGTCGAAAAAAAATAATTAATCCCTTAATAAATGTGCTTTTGTAGTACATATTACTTTATTTCGCATTCAAAATTATTATCACAAACTATTTAACACAGAGTANTAGTTAACAAGAAATCACAAAAAATAACAATGTAAAAAAACTAACAGTTAATAACTATAGAGAACAAGCTAACAATTAATAGCTAGCAAAAAAAAATAACTGTTACCAACTAATAAAAATTAGTCGAAAAAAATAATTAATCCCTTAATAAATGTGCTTTTGTAGTACATATTGCTTTATTTCGCATTCAAAATTATTATGACAAACTATTTAACACAGAGAAATATAGTTGTAAACAACTTTTAAACTAATTTTTTTCATTGTGTGCCGTCAAATTTCGAAATGGTTAAAAGTGTGCCGATACAAAAAAAGGTTGAGAATCACTGCTTTAACGACTCGCTCTTTTTTTTTATTTTGCAGATTTTCTTTCTTGGCTGCAGTTGGTCTCAATTATAATACTACCTTTACAAAAAGTTCTCTTTTCAAATTTGCTACCCGAACAAAACAAAAAATAAATATTTATCAGGAATGATTAGTTTTAATTTAAAAAAAAATACTAAACAGCGGAGCGAAGTGTTGAAGGCCGCTGGATTGAAAAATAACTTCCGTGCAAGCCACCACATCTAGTTTTCTATAACTTATTCCAAGTTGAACAACAGAGCAACATCAGTTTGAAACAAAACACTAGGTATACACATTACCAATAAATATGGTTATATTTTAAAGGCACTTTTAAATTAACATATTTTTAACAGGTATCTTTGAACACGGGGAAGGGATTTTGCAACGGATTTCTAATTACATCCAAATCGGTCCTTACAGCGGCACATTGTCTAGCAAAGTAAGACATTTTGAATTTATTGAAAACTCTCTATATGCAAGAATTGTTATTATAAATATGCAAGAACAGCAAACTGTTGTCTGCATACGATGCAATTTAGTTTCTCTTAATCTTTATGTAAACGGTTATACAGATTCTATTTTTAGTTGTAAATATTTATTGATAACCTTTATTTGAAAAATATTGAGAGCAAGTGCTCGCGACCTGTAAAACAAATATTTTATCACATACCGAGACTATATGACTCCAAGATATATTCAAACGCCGGGTGAGCCTGGTCGGTAGGGCGCTGGGCCCATGTCCGAGAGTTCGAGCCCCGCCGGCCGAAGATTCCCCGTGTAGCAAAGTGACTGATGCACGTTAAATCTGTCGAGTCGCAAAAGTCCTCCATGTTCCCAAAACAAATAAATACCTCTGGGGGTACTGGATGATCGATCGTTCTCTGATTCAGGTCAAAATTACGATCTGTGGATGAATGAATGGATGTATGAATGGGTCCGCCCTATAAGCGAGTGTGACGTAAGGTGTGGTAGAAGTCGAATTCTTGGCCATAGATGGCGCCACTGGAGAACAAGAGCAATCGTACCCCCTCTGCCTAAACAGGCAAAAGTCAACAACAACATATATTCAAACAACTTAAATAATTTTTGTCATTTCTACAACTTAAAATTTTCTCCACTCTGGGAAAAATCAGCTAAACGCTAAACCATAAAATCGACACCTTAAACCAAAATACCATACAAATTTGTAGAAATTCTCACGTGTTAAACTGAACCATTTTTCTGTTGAAATATAGAGTTGTGAATCTTTTTAAACAAGTTTAAAAAGATTTCAACTACAATATGATATGCAGTTCATTGAGACACTTTTAATTAAAGTTGCTGAATTTTGAACGATATCATGGTTCAATAGAATCCAAATTAATACATAAAAGCATGTTTAACTGTTGTTAAAAAAAATATGTAAATTATATTTTGCTTTTTGATAATTTTCCTCCAGCTTTTCTACGTTATTTTCGGATATGGCATGTCTTTTATTTTTCTTATTCGTGTTGAAGTTAAAAGTTCTTAATCGAAGGTGCCATTTGTTATACGAATGATAAAGCTTTTGTTAAGTTAGATTCTTATAATAAATTGTAGATAATTTAATAATTTTTTCCAATTATATTGTAGACTGATTATCTTAATAATGTCCTCCAACCTAACTGCTTTTGTCAGCGTAGTTTCAAGCTAGAAGACCATATTACATATCAACATGCAAGCATTTTTTTCGATAATAGTTGGTATTGGCTAAAGAGGGCCAGGATAGTCTGGTTAGCAGGGCGTAGGAGCAATGTCCAAGAAGTCGTAAGTTCGATTCCAAAAAGCCGAAGACTCCCCGTGAACAAAAAAGTGACTGGTGCACGCTTAATCTGTCGGGATCACTAAGTCCTCCAAGTTCCCTTAGCATCGGGGACTGATCGTGCTCTGGTTCATATTAAAATTATGATCTGCGGGTGGATGGTGTGTGAATGTGTCCTTCCTGTAAACCGGGATGCGACGTATGTGTGTGATAGAAGTCGGATTCTTGATCATAGATGGAGCCACTGCTAATCACTCTCTGCCTTAAAAATAAATTTGTCAGTATTGACAAGTAGTAAAAGACAATAACATTGGCTCAAGATCTTTCCATAAAATGGATATTCGTGATATTGCTAATGTATCGAAACCTTACGATTATATTATTTGTATAGCTTACTTATATTTATATATTATAGCTTCTTATTTTTATATTTGTATAGCTTACTACGGCAATATAAAGGCGCACGCCATTCATAAATGACTTTTTTATATCAAACTATTTTTATATAATATTATTTGGAGTGTTAATAGTATTTCTCAACGTTAATAATAATTTCCAAGATCCAACAGGTGGCGCTGTGCGCAGAAATGTAAAAGGATTACCTAATTGTATTCCGTTTCCTCTATGGTACTGTACCATGGAGGCGTTTGTAATGCTTTAAAACCCCGAGATCATCGTATTTTACATGGGGGTAGGTATTTTACAACTTTACAGTAAATGGCATCCCAATACACAAATACATTTTTTTCTTTTTGGCTGTCAAAATATTTTGGATTTTCTCGCCAAAAAGCTCTTTTGAAATTCTAACACTCTTCTGACATCATTCAATATAAAAATTTGACTTGTCATTCAGTTACAGCAAAGCTCGATAATATCAACATCTGTGCAACGTATACAAAAATGCAAAGAGTTTTAGTTCATAAAAAATTTTACTATTTGAATTTAGAATGTTTTTTTTTTCTTTCTAATTTCAAGTAAAAATGCAACACAATATAAAGTTTATGCTGGAACGATCAAGAGGCAAAAGAGCGGTGACAAAGGCGAGCAACTCAGACTTGTTTCAAAAGTAATACAACACCCAAAATATGAAAGTCTGGAAGCCATCACTGCAGGCTCAAATAGCTATGATATCGGAATCGTTATCTTGGAAAAAGCAGTAGAGATCAACTCATTCGTCGATGTCATCTGCTTGATGGACAAGAAACGCGCAAACCCAAAAAGAGCAGTCGCTGTTGGATATGGACGAACTGAACATTGTAAGAATTTTTTTTATATTCCAGTAATCAAGGGGGCATCTAGTTTTTAAATATGATGTATTATGAATGAAGTTTTTTATTTGAGAATAATAAAGATGTCCCAAAATTCATGCATGGAGTAATTTTGATTAAAGAGACAGTTGTTTAATTAAAATTTTTCTTTTATAACCGTTGTTGAACAGTCGACCCAATTTTATGGGTTTTCGACTGTTCAACTCCGTAGCCTTGAAATTTTGAGCCCAATCCAGAAGACAAGGGAACTCCTGGATCGAGTATTGGGAGAAATTTGCCTTCGTGGAGAACTTTTTAATGGAGCTAACACGCATTTGCGTTATATGGAGAGGAAGATCACGAGAACCTGCCATGGTTAGCCTGACGGCAAGGGGACTCTTACCCATGGTCCGTCTACACCTCTGAGGATATTTCCCGGATGCGGAATTCGGATCGACTGGGATTCGAACCCGGTTCGCTTCATTGGAAGGCAAACGAATACCTTGAAAAGGAATATGTTGTTTCTAGTTAACAAGGCAAGAAATTTCGATTTTTCAGTGGCGGAACATTACGTATTATACTATAGCATATACGGTACTAGGGCACCAAACAGTGAAATTTCTTATCACTAGGTCAGAGAATTAATCTTCCAGGGGTGATTGTGAGCCCAAGTCAAAATTCCGGAAAATTTCTTGAGTTTAAAAAAAAAAAAACAGTTTGCATTGAAATATTAGAAAAAAATTTAAACAAGGTTTTTTTTTTACTTTTTCTCAATATTTCTTAGTTTACTTAAAATATTTTTAAATTTTACATATACCTATACCATTTACACATACCTATGATGACCTNAGTTTGCTATATTTAAAATTTTACACATACCTATGATGACCTGGAGAAGTAATTAGAATTTACAAATATGTCTTTCTTTCTTGAGTTTATGATTAATAACAATNATGGACAGGAAGACCATGAGAACCTCCCACGGTTAGCCTGACGGCAAGGGGACTCTAAACCATGATCCGTCTACCACTGAGGATATTTCCCGTCAGCACTGTGGTCGGTGCAAGACGGGTGCGGAATTCGTATCGACTGGGATTCGAACCCGGTTTGCTTCATTGGAAGGCAAACTGATACCTTGAAAAGGAATATGTAGTTTCTAGTTTACAAGCCTAGAAATTTCGATTTTTCAATGGCGGAACATTACGTATTATACTATAGCATATACGGTACTAGGGCACCAAACAGTGAAATTTCTTATGACTAGGTCAGAGAATTAATCTTCTGAACAATTTCGTGATAACGTAGTAACAATTTAGTGATAAAACGTAGACTTATAACATACACTAGTTGAAATCCAGTACTTTTAAAAGGTAGTTTCTAGTTAACAAGTCAAGAAATTTCTATTTTTCAGTGGCGAACATTACATATTATACTACAGCATATAGAGTACTCGAGCATATGAATAAAAAATAAAATAGTCATAAAATTAGTTTCCCAATCAAAACTAAACTAACTTAAGGTTTTTTTTTTTTTTNAATTAATAATTTTAGTTGGACAGATCCATCCAAAAAACAAATTAACTATTTAAGATACTTCAAAGTGAATATTTTAAATCTGGGAGTGTGTGCTGTGATGTTCAGAGCGTCAGGACTTCCAATTACAAAGAGTGAGATTTGTGTGTCATATACTCGAGCTGGTGGACTGTGTTATGTAAGTATTAGTTATTTATTGAAGCTAGTTACAATTAAAAAAAAGAAAAAAAAAACTTTTCTAACACTGATGAATAACTTTTCAGGGTGACAGAATCAAAAACAGTTTGATTGCTTGAGTAAACTTAAATGTTATTTCAATAATCACCTCTTTCAGGGTGCGTAGCCAAATTTTTAACAAAAAAAGCACCTTTTAAGCACTCAAAAAATATTTTTAAGCACCTTAAAAAATATCGGTAGGTAAGTTTTTGACAAATGAGGGTTTTATTTGCTTGCTAGTGACGAAGACGACGGTGCGTCACCAACGATGAAATTAACAAGAGAAATAAAATGTTCTATTGCAATTAGAGAAAAAAAATTGACAATGTTTAGTTGATCTCCGTTATCAGCAAAAATTCGAGATATTTGTCGGCTCGATTCCAGAGGGCGAAAAATAAAGTCTGAAATTGAGAATCTCTTGCAAAATGCAGCAGAGTTGCGCATGAGACCTAAATCCTTCCCACTGAATCTAGCTCATGCAAACACGCAAGTATTTAATCAAACATGTAAAGCGAATCGTGTTTTCATACACTACGTAAAGACGGTACGCCGAAATACAGTGGGGTTGAATTAATTGTGAAAACGTAGAATACGACAGTATCTTTTTGCATAATTCATGGCGAAAATCAATAAAGTAAAGAAAAAATAACTAATTTTGGAAAAGGGAAAATTAAGCACTTTTTAAAAACACCCATTGAGAAAAGCACATTTAAGGGCTTCTAAAAAACGAAAATAAGCACCTTTAAGTACTTTTTAAAAACGCTACGCACCCTGCTTTTTGTCTTTTTCTGGCAATCCCATGTGTTTTGATAACAATTCATCAGATTTTAATAATAATGTTCCTATTTTTCTTACTTTTAATAACTAGCAATCTTTAATAGGCATATTTTTTTACAAGGTTTCTAGAAATGTATATTAAAGGCAGTGCTTAAGGAAAATATCACTGAGTAAATCTCAAATGATTTCTTATATTTGAATTGCAACTTATTGATATTTTATTTTAAAATTAAACTTAAAGTAGACCCATGAATTTAATTGTCAATTTTATAGGGTGATTCAGGTAGCCCTTTAGTGAAAAAAATAAAAGGGAAATATATTGCTCTGGGTGTAGAATCAGGAAGAAATATTCCACCATGCAATGAACCCTTATTGGCAGCGGTATACACAAGAACGGCTCCCTTCAAGAAATGGATCCAACAAAACGCTGAAAATGATCATGATCTGTGTTTCATTTAAATAAAAAATTTGTGAATAATATAAGTTGGATAATGTTTTTATTTATTTCCTACCTTAAATATATTTGTAGTCCCTTATACGATTATTTTTTAAACTAGTATCCACACAGTCATGTACTCTGCATAAAGAAAATAGTGAACACTGATCTAATGAACGGATTTCCACGTATTGGAACTCAATGCTAACACCACGCATGCAATTTGAACACCACGCATATTTTTATGGAAATCCCATTCAGATCATATGCACTGCTTAGAAGCGCTCATATTGGGGTACAGCAATGAGAAGCGCACTACTATCACATTGAAATAAATAAAATATTTGATTTGTAATAAATAAAACTTAAGGGCGGGATAGCCTGGTCGGTAGGGCGCTGGGCCCCTGTCCTTGAGTTCGTGGGCTCGAACCCCGCCGGCCGAAAACTCCCCGTGTAGTAAAGTGACTGATGCACGTTAAATCTGTCGAGTCTCAAAAATCCCCCATGTTCCCATAACAAATCAATACCTCTGGGGGTACTGGGTTGGAGATCGATCGTTCTCTGATTCATCTATGGATGAATTAATGGGTCCGCCCTATAAACGGGTGCGACGAATGGTGTGGCAGAAGTCGAATTCTTGGCCATAGATGGCGCCACTGGAAAAACAAGAACAATCGCACCCCCTCTGCCTAAAACAGGCATACGTCAACAACAAAACTTAAGCAAATTTGTTAATTCCCTATTAGTGACAAATTTTCAGTAATCATTTAAAATAATGTACAGTTTAGTATTATATCATCAATGACTATGTGGCACTTAACATGTTAAGTTAATGGTTTTAGGACATAACCTTAAGAATGCTATTAATGATATTTTAAGTTACAGAATAAGACACAAACATATACTTTATCTGAATAAGCATACCATTTTTTCAACAGATTCGGATCTCCAAAATACGGAGGAGGGTAGCCACAATTTAGTAATTATAGCCTCTAATATCATAGCCAGGCAATCAGATGAAAGTCTAAACTTTTTCGAGGTTTCTCTACACCTCAAAAACCTTTGACACGATTTGAAAAATAATTTTATTAATTTGTATAAAAATAATTTAATAGTTGTAAAAATTCTGAAATTTAGAATATACAAACCTTCATCACATCATATTAAAATATGCAATTTTTATTGACAAAATTTGCTTGATTCTCTATAAAATCAAATTTCAAAAATAAAACTTTTTTAAATTGGATAACTCTTAAAATATTTGGCCAATAACCTTTGAATAATCACCTCTTTGTCTTCTTCTGGCAATCCCATGTGTCCTGATTAAATTTTAATAATGCTCCTATTTGTCTTTTTTCTTTTTTTTAATAACTAGCAATCTTTAATAGGCATATTTTTTTACAAGGTTTCTAGAAATGTATATAAAAGGCAGTGCTTAAGGAAAATCTCACTGAGTAAAGCTCAAATTATTTCCTATATTTGAATTGTAACTTATTGATATTTTATTTTAAAATTGAATGTAAAGTAGACCCATGAATTTAACTGTGTATTTTATAGGGTGATTCAGGTAGCCCTTTAGTGAAAAAAAATAAAAGGGAAGTATATTGCTCTGGGTGTAGAATCAGGAGGATATCTTCCACCATGCAATGAACCCTTATTGGCAGCGGTATATGCAAGAACGGCTCCCTTCAAGAAATGGATACAACAAAACGTTGAAAATGATCATGATCTGTGTTTCATTTAAATAAAAAATTAATTAATAATTTTAGTTGGATAATGCTTTTATTTTTTTCCTCCCTTAAATAAACTTGGAGTCCCTAATACAATTATTTTTTAAACTAGTATCACACACAGTAATGTACTCTGCATAAAAGAAAATAGTGAACACCGATCTAATGAACGGATATTCATGTACTGGAACTCAATGTTAACACATTGAACACCACACATATTTTTATGGAAATCCCATTCAAATCATATGCACTGTTTAAAAGCACTCATACTGCGGTACAGCAATATGAAGCGCACTACTAACATATTGAAATAAATAAAACTTTGATTTGTAATAAATAAACTTAAGCTAATTTATTTATACATTCAAATTTTGTATTCTGTCTTATAAAATTACTCTCTAAAATAGCCTAAAAATTTTTATTAATTAAAATGAAATGTCTTCAATTATCAACTAAAATAATAAATAATTATTTATATCTTTAAATAAATTAATACTACAATTATTTTGACCAAAAATTTTTCTATTTGCTTAAAAAGTTGACGAGATCTAGTAATATACTAAAAAAGGAAAATTAACATTCAAAAGTTAAATCTCAACTGCTCTCCTTTCTGCCTGAACAATTTTACCATACTTTCTAAGTTGCGCTTAACATTTATCTTAAGGACAGAAATCTGAGTCCATGGGAAAAAAAGGTATATTTATCCGAAGAAAAAATATTTTTTGTCTGATTTTATAACTTAAAATTTCATCTGAAAAATGATTTTTAAAGCTTGAAAAAAAAAATTTTTTTTAAAGCTTGCAAAAAAACATTTTTTTTAAAGCTTTCCTCAAATATAACAAATTGATTCTTATCAAACTGGAAGGAATCAGAATTAATTTGAAAGAAATATCACTGGATGCTTTAATCCAGGTTTCTCCATAAAAAAAAAAAAAAAAAATTTAGGTTGCCTAGGAATTCTGATGTAAATTCTCGTATTTACACTATAAAGCTTGATTTAAATCAAATCTTATTTGTTACTAAAAACATATGGTGTCACTTTTAATATTTTTCGGAACATAACCTTTCCTTGTGTAACATGAATTTTTTTTTATAATCAGTATTCTAGAAAGAAACAATTATTTGAAACATCAATGCATATTCCAAATTTTCATTTTAACAAGCAATATTTTATTTTTTTTAAAGTAATGAATTGACCAACAAAAAACAGATAAACTGTGTTTTGAACATGTTAAGAATATGTTTATATATTTCTTTATCTATGTTCATCAGGAAATGTCTCTACATTTTGTTCTAACTAAAATATCAACATTTAAATTTATACTCATTGATACAAAGTAAATTAAGAAACATTGATACTCACTAAAACAACTTTTAAAGCACTAAAACTTTTAATTAATATATCTTCTTTTTCAAGAGTTAGAAAGGATACGAATTAGAAAAGTGAAAAACCTACTTTAAAAAATTGTACAACACAACAATAAACTTAGCACAAATCAAAATTACCTTAATTTTACAAGCCATATGATTAAAATTTAATTTTTAAATTATAGTAATGATTGTTGCCATGAATGCAAGTTCGGACATAACTGTTTTGGAAATATATAACATTGGCATTTCTCTATGGTTTCCTACATAGATATTAAAAATATAAACCAATAAGAATGAAAGGAATTTTTATAAAATATTTATTGAATACAAAACTTTATAAAATTATAACTATAAAAGGAAAAAAAAAACATATCACACATCTCCCATTGATTCAGCCATCCTCTTCTCTCTAAAAAATAAAATTTTTACTTAACATAAATTTTTATTTAGCAAAAATTTTAAATCAATGCATAGGTACTATAATACGAGAACAAAACTGTACCAGAACTTACACATAGAACTTCACTTTATCCCATTGTTTATATTCTAAACATGCAATTAATCAATTCAAAATTGCAAAGTGTAACCCCATCATTTCCACATACAATAAAAAAACTTAAAAAAATCAGTTTGCAAGAATGATTGCCATTGTTTGTAAATCTGTAAAATTTCTAGTATGAAATGAATACTTTTTCTATTTAACAATAGCTTACCTTTTAAATCCAATCTTATGCGGTAGAAATAAAACTATAAGTTTTATAGAATAGCATGTTATCTTTCACTAAACAAATATATTAATAGAGTAGGTATTTACTGTAATAAATAAATCCATAATGGTAAGAAATCATTTTTTTAAAAAAAATTTGACGATGTCTTNACAGTTTAACGAGGACCAATACCGCACACCCTCGATCCCTACGCAGACTGATCCAAGTGGTCACCCACCCGCACACTGACCGCAGCCAGTGATGCTTGACTTCGGTGATCTGATGAGAACCGTGTCTTAACGATCAGTCCACTGCGGGACCTTATATTTGAATTATAACTTATTGATATTTTATTTTAAAATTAAACTTAAAGCAGACCCATGAATTTAACTGTGTATTTTATAGGGTGATTCAGGTAGCCCTTTAGTGAAAAAAATAAAAGGGAAATATATTGCTCTGGGTGTAGAATCAGGAAGAAATATTCCGCCATGCAATGAACCCTTATTGGCAGCGGTATACACAAGAACAGCCCCCTTCAAGAAATGGATCCAACAAAACGTTGAAAATGATCATGACCTGTGTTTCATTTAAATAAAAAATTTGTGAATAATATAAGTTGAATAATGTTTTTATTTTTACCTCCCTCAAATAAATTTGTAGTCCTTAATACGATTATTTTTTAATCTAGTATCACACACAGTAACGTACTCTGCATAAAAGAAAATAGTGAACACCGATCTAATGAACAGATTTTCACATATTGGAACTCAATGCTAACATGTTGAACACCATGCATATTTTTTAGAAATCCCATTCAGATCATATGCACTGCTTAAAATTGCTTATATTGGGGTACAGCAATATGAAGTGCACTACTATCATATTGAAATAAATAAAATATTTGATTTGTAATAAATAAAACTTAAGCAAATTTATAAATTCCTTATTAGTGACAAATTCTCGAAATCATTTAAAAGAATGTACAGTTTAGTATTATATCATCAATCACTGGTGACTAATGTGGCCCTAACATGCTATTAATGATATTTTAAGTTACAAAATAAGACACAAATATATACTTTATCTGAATAAGCATACCATTTTTTTAACAGATTTGGATCTCCAAAAGGAGGGTAGCCACAATTTAGTAATTATAGCCTCTAATATCATAGCCAGGCTATCAGATGAAAGTTTGAACCCTTTAATGTAAACTTTTTGTAGGTTTTTCTACATCTCAAAAACTTTTGACACGATTTGAAAAAATGTGTTAACAATTTGTATGAAGATAATTTAATGGTCGAAAAAATTTTGAAATTTAGAATATACAAATCTTCATCACATCATATTAAAATATGTAATTTTTTTTGACAAAATTTGCATGATTCTCTATAAAATCAAATTTTAAAAATAGAACTTTTTAAATTGTTAAACTCTTAAATTTTACTCCTAAATTCTTAAAAACTTTTTAAATTTTTAAACTCTTAAAATATTTGGCCAATAACGTTTTAATAATCACCTCTTTTTTGTCTTCTTCTGGCAATCCAATCTGTCTTGATAAAATTTTAATAATGCTCCTATTTGTCTTTTTTCTTATTTTTAATAACTAGCAATCTTTAATAGGCATATTTTTTTACAAGGTTTCTAGAAATGTATATTAAAGGCAGTTCTTGAGGAAAATCTCACTGACTAAAGCTCAAATTATTTCCTAAATTTGAATTGTAACTTATTGATATTTTATTTTAAAATTAAACTTAAAGTAGACCCATGAATTTAACTGTGTATTTTATAGGGTGATTCAGGTAGCCCTTTAGTGAAAAAAATAAAAGGGAAATATATTGCTCTGGGTGTAGAGTCAGGAGGATATCTTCCGCCATGCAATGAACCCTTATTGGCAGTGGTATACGCAAGAACGGCTCCCTTCAAGAAATGGATCCAACAAAATGCTGAAAATGATCATGATCTGTGTTTCATTTAAATAAAAAAAAATTAATTAATAATAAGTTGGATAGTGTTTTTATTTTTTTCCTCCCTTAAATAAACTTGTAGTCCCTAATACGATTATTTTTGAAACTAGTATCACACACAGTAATGTACTTGGCATAAAAGAAAATAGTGAACACCAATCTAATGAACGGATTTTCACGTATTGGAACTCAATATGTAGAACACCACGCATATTTTTGTGGAAATTCCATTCAGATCATATGCACCGCTTAGAAACGCTCATATTGGGATACAGCAATATGAAGCGCACTACTAAGATATTGAAATAAATAAAAATTTGATTTGTAATAAATAAAACTTAAGCAAATTTATTAATTCTTATTAAATTAAGCAAATTTATTAAGCAATTTATTAAAATATGTAATTTTTATTGACAAAATTTGCACTATTCTCGCAAAATCAAACTTTTAAAAAAAACTTTTTAAAATTGGATAACTCTTAAACTATTTGGCCAATAACATTCAAATTTTTTATTCTGTCTAATAAAATTAAACTCTAAAACAGCCTAAAAAATTGTATTAATTAAAATGATATTTTTTCAATTATTAACTAAAATAATAAATAATTATTTACATCTTTAAATAAATGAATACTACAATTATTTTGAGATTTTTTTTTTCTACTTGCTTAAAAAGTTAACAAGATCTAGTAAAATACTAAAAAAAAAAGGGAAATTAACATTTAAGAGTTAACTCTCAACTGCTCTCCTTTCTGTCTAAACAACTTGACCATACTTTCAAAGTTGCACTTAACCTTTATCTTAAGGACAGAAATCTGAGTCCATGGAAAAAAAAGGTATATTTATCTAAAGAAAATACATTTTTTGTCTGATTTTATAACTTAAAATTTCATCTGAAAAATGATTTTTAAAGCTTGAAAAAAAATTTATTTTAAAGCTTCCCTCAAATATAACAAATTGATTCTTATCAAACTGGAAGGAATCAGAATTAATTTGAAAGAAATATCACTGGTTGCTTTAATCCAGGTTTACCCATAAAAAAAAAAATTAAAGGTTGCCTAGGAATTCTGATATGAATTCTCGTATTTACACTATAAAGCTTGATTTAAATCAAATCTTATTTGTTACTAAAAACATATGGTGTCACTTTTAATATTTTTCGGAACATAACCTTTCCTTGTGTAACATGAATTTTTTTTTATAATCAGTATTCTAGAAAGAAACAATTATTTGAAACATCAATGCATATTCCAAATTTTCATTTTAACAAGCAATATTTTATTTTTTTTAAAGTAATGAATTGACCAACAAAAAACAGATAAACTGTGTTTTGAACATGTTAAGAATATGTTTATATATTTCTTTATCTATGTTCATCAGGAAATGTCTCTACATTTTGTTCTAACTAAAATATCAACATTTAAATTTATACTCATTGATACAAAGTAAATTAAGAAACATTGATACTCACTAAAACAACTTTTAAAGCACTAAAACTTTTAATTAATATATCTTCTTTTTCAAGAGTTAGAAAGGATACGAATTAGAAAAGTGAAAAACCTACTTTAAAAAATTGTACAACACAACAATAAACTTAGCACAAATCAAAATTACCTTAATTTTACAAGCCATATGATTAAAATTTAATTTTTAAATTATAGTAATGATTGTTGCCATGAATGCAAGTTCGGACATAACTGTTTTGGAAATATATAACATTGGCATTTCTCTATGGTTTCCTACATAGATATTAAAAATATAAACCAATAAGAATGAAAGGAATTTTTATAAAATATTTATTGAATACAAAACTTTATAAAATTATAACTATAAAAGGAAAAAAAAAACATATCACACATCTCCCATTGATTCAGCCATCCTCTTCTCTCTAAAAAATAAAATTTTTACTTAACATAAATTTTTATTTAGCAAAAATTTTAAATCAATGCATAGGTACTATAATACGAGAACAAAACTGTACCAGAACTTACACATAGAACTTCACTTTATCCCATTGTTTATATTCTAAACATGCAATTAATCAATTCAAAATTGCAAAGTGTAACCCCATCATTTCCACATACAATAAAAAAACTTAAAAAAATCAGTTTGCAAGAATGATTGCCATTGTTTGTAAATCTGTAAAATTTCTAGTATGAAATGAATACTTTTTCTATTTAACAATAGCTTACCTTTTAAATCCAATCTTATGCGGTAGAAATAAAACTATAAGTTTTATAGAATAGCATGTTATCTTTCACTAAACAAATATATTAATAGAGTAGGTATTTACTGTAATAAATAAATCCATAATGGTAAGAAATCATTTTTTTTAAAAAAATTTGACGATGTCTTATGTAATATTGTAAAAAGATGCAGCACAAAAAGTAGTTGTAAACCTTCACTTTTATAAAAAATCTATATAGGTAATTGCTTTGATTTTACTGCTGATAATGAATAAAAAAAATTTTGAACAGGAAAAATTATGTCAAAATTTTGTAATTTCACAATCTTTAAATTTTGAGTAAAATTTGATGGAAAAAAGGATAAAAAGGTAATTAATCAACCCTGAATTTGTTACCCCTTTAACACAATTTTAGTTCATTTCCTTCCTCATACAATCACAAATAACAGGGGCAATTGTGACACAAAGTGAAGAACCCTGAAAGTTTTATGTGTAAAAACTTGATTTCAATCCATATACCAAACATGTTTCACATTTAACATATTTTTTTAAACTAAGATTTATAATTAAATTAACTACCAATGAAGTACATCACACCTTTACAGCAACTATTTTAAGAAAAAACTTAGCTCTTAAGATTAGCGATATTAGTTTTTAAAATCATGTGAATAAGAATCATGATATTGAATTTTAAAAATGTGAAAATAAAAAACAAATCATTGGATTTTTAGATAGTGTGAATACAAAGTAAAAGTGGGTTTAAAGCTTGTGTGTATAAAAATTGTTACATTGGATTTTAAATCGTGTAAATACGAACGGAAATGCGTAACTTTTAAATCGGGCAAATACGAAAATCCTTGCTTAATATTAAAATCGTGGGAATATGAATCGAGATATTAGCGGATTCTGGAGCAATTCCATATAAAATGGAGAAAATCCATCAAACCAAAAGAACAAAATTGGTGGAAGAATCATACATGCACAAACGTCTCATCAACAGGAGTTAGTAAAAATTTCAAAATTTAAATTTTAGATAGTGGAACTCAGTGAAAATTTCGTCAGATAAGTTTTTGATGAGTTAGCCAATGGTCTTGAGATGAGCGGAATTTCGCAAAATTCATAGAATTACATGCAGTTTTTATTTTTTAGACTCGGAAGGATTATACGAGAAAACTGGAATTCCGAGGTACACCAGGAATACAATCACCCCTGAAATAAGCCGTTTGAATTTTGAGATGATTGTACAAAAAAATTAAGTTAATGTGGGCTACAAAACATGAAAGTTCTGAAAAACACATCGTAAGTAGAAAAATAAAAACTAGAATTAGTTTTCTCAAGCTATACTATGGAAATTGTTCTACTTCAACTGTCCTAACTCAAGAAATATGAGTCATAGAACTTTAATATGATTATTTGAGAAAGCTAAGAAACTACACATCAGGGACTTATCAAAACTAAATTTGATTTAAAATTATATTTCAAAGATAAATAACCACTATATATTTCATAAATGCTTAAAAAAATCTTCACAATTTAAAATGCCAATAAAAATATATGTCACATTTAATAGAGAAATTTATGACTCTAATACCTTTGCCAGCCTATTAATATTTTATAAACAAAAAACATACTTTCTCATTTTTCTAAATTTTGCTTGCAACAGCCAGTCGCTAGCAGCCTCTCTAAATATGTTGTCTTTAAAATTTTTGTACAGCAAACAAGCTTCTGAAGAAGAAAATAAAATAAAACTGAAGGTAATTTTCCGCTCATGTAATAAACATGCATTAAAAACTATTTATTAAAAATCTTATAAAGAAGTTACCTCGTATCATTTTAAAAACCTCAGTTTTTTCAAATGATTCCTTTAACTGACCAGTCTTGTTTTTACCAGTTAAGGAATAGCAAATAGCAACATCATCTGTGATTAATCTCCTTAGGGAATTTGCCACAAACGCCTTACAATCTTTTCCATGGCAGCTTAAAATTAATTGTTTCTGGAAAATAAAAACTTTTTCGTTAAAAGTTAAAAAATGAATAAGCATCTAACTAAGCATAAAAGTTAAAAAAATCATTGAGCATCTAACTAAGCATAAAAGTTAAAAAATCATTGAACATCTAACTAAGCATAAAAGTTAAAAAGTCATTGAGCATCTAACTAAGCATAAAAGTTAAAAAATCATTGAGAATCTAACTAAGCATAGAAGTTAAAAAATCATTGAGCATCTAAGCATACAGCCATGCTTAGAAGGGGGCCAACAGGGCAATTGTCTAAGGCCACTAAAAATAGACAAAAGTAAGCACTCAAACTAATAATTTAGACATTAAATATAGAATTCTAACATTTTTAAAAAAGTATTTATCTAATAACCAAATAACATTAGATTTGTCAATCCCATTTAAACTTTCTTAAGCTAAAATTCAATTTCCCCAAATAGATTCTTTTACATATACGTATTAAGAAATCTAATCTCCATATTTCACAGGGTCAAAGAAAAAGAATCAGGACATTTTTTGAACAGTATACATAAAGAGTACTTTTAAAAATTGCAAACTACTAAAAATTTGCTTAACTTAAGTATAATAAAGGCAAATTTAATCATAAAATATAACAGTTTCCAGCATAATTTCATAAATGGAGAACTCAACTTATAACAGTTTGTGATCAACGTAATATAGAATAATTTTATAGTATATACCGTTGAATTTAAATAAAAACTAATATCAATTAGTTAATATTTCCTTTTACCAATATTTCAATAAAATTTATAAAAATTCAAGATTTTTTAATCAAATAATTCAAAAGTAGGACTTTAAATCTCAAAACGAAAACAGTCCTGCCACTTAGTTATTTTGTACAAAATAAATTTTCCCTCTATTCACAATTTATAAATCTTTGATTACTAATGTAATATTGTTAGTAAATTAATACAATATTGTTATAGAAATTTGAAAATCAGGTAAATAGGTCTAATCAATACTTGAAAACCAACAAAACCCCAATATAAAAAAATTGTTACAGCATTTGCTGAAAATCATAGATGAAAAGTGCATGTTGTCAAAATTCATTGCTGTAAAAATTTGATAGTGCAGAATTGTTTATTGAATTTCGTTTTCATAAAATGACTAATAACTAAAAAGTTTGTAACAATGATTTCTGTAGGTGAGACTCATATTTTTGATTAGTGGATGGTCTCTAAATTTTTTAGTAGCATTATTAATTAAAATAAAAATTTGTTGGATCAAAATTTTAAGCCTTTCAATTCAAATTGATTATTTTAAAACTGACATTTGCATTAGAAGAAAATGGAAGGTTCAGAACACACAAAAACCAGGAATATTATGAAAGAAATTTAAAATTAGGACAAATAAGAAAATATTTCTCATTAGGAATATCAGGAAAACTACGAACCCTGACAAATTATAACCTTAAAAATATAAAGTAATAAAAACAGTAATTACAATTTGCTCCTTCAATGTTTTGTTTGTCTTTAGACTTTCATTCAGCATTATAAAATCGTTAATTCCAAAAGGTAGCAAACCTAACAAAGAGCTGCTAGTGTTCTGCTCTTTATTGTTAGAATCAAGAATCAGAAGAATTCTATCAATTTTCTGTTCCATTCTTTCAAAGATTGTAAGATTTTGATCTTTAATGATGTGGCAAATTTCGTATTTTTCTGCAACTGTAGCTAAATTCTCTGAAATTTCAAAATATTTAAAGTTAGAATCGTAGATTGAAAATTTCAAAATATTTAAAGTTAGAATCATAGATTGAAAATATCAAACTTTGAAAAAAAAATGAAAGTTTTGAGAATTGTAAGTCAGGTGTCTTTTGTGTAGATTAATTTAAAATAAAAATCTGATTGCTTCATTATAGTTTCACATAACATAAAAAAATTCAAAAGCCAAGTGCTATATCATCATTAACGGACATAGAAAAATCGAGAGTGGTGCTTGAAATCATACTATCTATGTACCTAAAACAAAATTTTCATAATTAATCATCCATAGTCTCAAAATTAATGAGATTTCCTAAGGTTAATATAATTATTTGTGGCCCTTGGATGACAACCCAAGGACCACAAATGGGTGCCAAAACAAAATTGTTTTTTCCATTCGTTTATCAAACATTATTTACAATACTTTAATTCACTTTTCTGCAACTTTTTAAATAAATTTTAAAATTCATTTAATTAAGGAGGTAAAAGCAAAATTTAGAATAAGAATCAGTTTTGCTTTACACATTTTCCATTGAAATTATTGCATTAGTCATTAAATGTCCACCAAAGTAGTTTGAACTAAACTAAACTCAGTGGCGCGACAGCCCATAGAGGACCAAGGCATACTATGCCCATCTCAGTTTTCTTGACCTTGGGCTCTGGAGTGCAGGAGCAGATGTTCCGGCCAGGTGGTCAACAGAACGCGCAACCCCCAGTGTTTAGTTCCCAAGCATGCTTGGTACTCATTTATTGACCCACTGAAGGGATGAAAGGCTAAGTCAACCTTGCCTGGCCCGAGGATCGAATCCAGGACCCGTGGCATGGGAGCGCGAAGCGCTACCACTCAGCCACCGGGCGATCAAAGTAGTTTGACTGACTTTAAATGCTAGGTAAATAAATAAATAAAAAAGATCAAAGTAATCTTCAATAATTAGAAAATAAACAGGAAGTGTTTTAAAACATGCATAGATATCAAGCAAAAAAAAAAAAAAAACCACACAAAAAAAAAAAATTTCTCCTCTTTTTTCAGTAGAAATGCTCATTTCAAAATTTATTTCTTTTTGAGGTTATTAATTTTAAAACAACTATGTAACTTTTTTTTGTTATAATTGTAGAGTGTTCTTGAAAACATATCTGAAAAGTATTTCAAATAGGACTTACAAGAAAGAAAAAAATATAGTATAACATTTATTTAAGAGATATAGAACAAAATATTTTAGAAAAGAAAATTTTAAAAAATTGATACAAAAAGGATAATTTTTTCTGAAAAGATATAAAATCTTTTTTTTATCCATTGATTTCGAAGAAAATAGATAATATCCACAGAAATAATCAATGCTTTTGGGAGATCTTGCATTTTGGCACAACTATGAAGCTTCACCTAAATAAAAAATACATCCAATTAATTAAAATTGCAGGTCAAATTCTAATGCTTAATAAAATATACTAATTTATACATAAAAAATGTGGCAGCATTTTTTTTTCTACTGTGCCATTTTTTTGACAATTGTTAAGGAAACTTAATTGTAAAACTTCAATAAATCTTATACACAAAAATAATTTTTTCTGCAACTGGAATATACCAATCAAAAATTTTAAAAATTAGCAGAACCCTCAACATTATACTCATAATAAATAGGATTAAAAAAGTATAAAATTAAGATTGTGTACTAAAAAAACTAAACCCATAAAAATGAGTAGAAAATAAACAATTTTGGTTACTCGTTCTTAGTAATCAGATGTTTGACTGCATATGAATTAGTGTTTGACCTTTCAATGTTGTAATGATTCCACGCAATGATGTAAAGATCTAATATGTTGTAAATGATTCCACGCAATTCTCGTACATTGGTGAATAAAATAGCTTAACACATTATATGAAATATTTTATTAATTTTATATGAATATCATAGGCTAATTGAAAAATTTGGTTTCTTAAAAATGTCGCATCTTCCAATATTCCAGACTAATTGTTAAACAGTGGAAATAATTAGAAATACTGACTTTTCCAATAAGTCTGGCACAATGCAAAGTGCTAGCAAATATTTGCAAAAAATCAGTCTGAGACATTAAAATTGAATAAATGTATTTAATATAAACAAGAAAATATTTAACTGAATAGTAACTATTTTTATTCCATTATTATGTAGTAATTTTAATAGAGAGCAGTATCTCATTATAGCATAGTTTTTGAAATACAACATATCTGAATAATTCACATAGACAGTTTGACATCTTTTCAATCACTGTTATTCCTGACAAAAAAAAAAAATTCCCCTTGTATGAGAAAGTGACATATTTAAAAGAAGTTTCCATATTAGGTCGAAATAAAAATTTGGAAGTAATTTCTATTTCTCATTTGAATCAGATTAAAAACCTGTCTGTGACTACATTCAGTAAGTGTATTGAATGTAAACAAGAAAAAGTTTAACTAAATAGTGATTATTTTCTAGTAATTTTAATAGCAAGCAATCACATTATAGCAGTGTTTTTAAAAATAAACAAACTTTCTGAATGATTTACATGAATTGTTNTAAATGATTCCACGCAATTCTCGTACATTGGTGAATAAAATAGCTTAACACATTATATGAAATATTTTATTAATTTTATATGAATATCATAGGCTAATTGAAAAATTTGGTTTCTTAAAAATGTCGCATCTTCCAATATTCCAGACTAATTGTTAAACAGTGGAAATAATTAGAAATACTGACTTTTCCAATAAGTCTGGCACAATGCAAAGTGCTAGCAAATATTTGCAAAAAATCAGTCTGAGACATTAAAATTGAATAAATGTATTTAATATAAACAAGAAAATATTTAACTGAATAGTAACTATTTTTATTCCATTATTATGTAGTAATTTTAATAGAGAGCAGTATCTCATTATAGCATAGTTTTTAAAATACAACATATCTGAACAATTCACATAGACAGTTTGAAAAAAATTCAGAGGGTTCACCGAACTACAAGCATCAACCAACTCTGCATTTGGAATGCCTAAAACATTTTTTCAATCACTGTTATTCCTGACAAAAAAAAAAAAAAAAGTTTTTCCCCTTGTATGAGAAAGTGACATATTTAAAAGTTTCCATGTTACGTCGAAAAAAAAATTTGGAAGTAATTTCTATTTCTCATTTTAATCAGATTAAAAACCTGTCTGTGACTACATTCAGTAAGTGTATTGAATATAAACAAGAAAAAGTTTAACTAAATAGTGATTATTTCCATTCCATTATTTTCCAGTAATTTTAATAGCAAGCAATCACATTATAGCAGTGTTTTTAAAAATAAATAAACTTTCTGAATGGTTTACATGAATTGTTTGGAAAAGGATTCAGAGGGTTCACTGAACTATGAACATCAACTGAGCTTTTGTAATGCCTAAAACATCTTTTCAGCTGCTATTATTCCAGCCAAAGAACAAGTTTACCCAAGTTATTTATTGAGAAAGCAATATATTTAAAAGAAATTTCTATTTCTGTGTATTTTGCAATTGGGCAAGTTTAAATTTCTATATAAACTTGACCAAATATGAAATAAACGGTCAATAAAAAAGTGGTAACAACGTGCACAATTGACTTACAAGAAGCGGATTCAGAAAAATGTTAGTAAAAATTTTACAAAATTTATATGAAACTTAATTAAATTAATGATTATAATTCGTATTTACATAAAAATCATACATTATTTCATTTCACTATTTAGCTTAGATAGAACATGAAGTTTAAAATCAGTGAAATCATGAAGTTTCAACATTAAAAAAAAAATCAAATAACACTAGTAGGAAATTTTATAAACAGCAAAACATTTGAAAAACAGTTTTAAAATAGTTCTAATTATTGGCACCTAAATTACAGAAATATTTAATAATGTAAAATTCATACAAATTTAAACAACTTGAGGTTAGTATAGTAAAAAAATACTTTATTACAATAAAAAAAAAATACTAAACAATCTAGGAACATAATATACACTTGATGAACATTACTTATGCACAATAGAAAAAAATATTTAACAGTCTAGGGAAAAAATACACTTGATGAATTTTACTTATGCACAATAAGAAAAATATTCAACGAAAATTAGACACATTATGAAAGTATTTTATCACATATTTATTACATACAATATGCAATGTAATTCTAGGTTCATTTCTCCTCCTTGGTAAATAGAAACACATATCAACAAACGATGGTCAATTCTTTAATATGAAACTTCAAAACTATTTTAAAAGCAAATCAATAGAAATCATAAAATAGTATTTACTAGAAATGAAAATCTTTGCTCCCAAATAGACACTCAGTTTTTTTTTTCTCTAAGTATTATGAAGAATAAATAATAAAGTACTATTAATTCAGCTAAAACATTGTTAATAACAGATAATGAAGTTTGGCAAAATTTGCTAAGCTTTGTCAGGTACAAGCTAAGAGACAAGTACGACAAAATAAATTCTATCAATTGTTTTAATATAAATTCTAATATTAATTGTGAGAAGTAAAAAATAGATCGTTAAAGAGTCCTCTGCACCCTTTTCAAAATTAATTTTCAGAGAAAAAAAGTAAACACCTTTGCAGTACTTATGTTTTTGTTTATAAAATTTATGTTCAATGATGTAATTGACACAAAATTTTATAACCATTTATTTCAAGAATAAATTAAATATCTCATTAAGTATTTATAAATTTTCCTGACGAAGCAATATTACTTGAATAATAGTATAATGCATAGCAAATATAAAATGCACAAAGATTGAACAAGTTTTGTACAAACTAGAAATCACTACAAATAAACTTCTTTTGAACCTTATCGTTACCAATATAACATTATTGTTACTATAAATTATTTTCCTGGTTTGTTGCAGGTTTATCTGGGTTTTGGTTGAAAAATGACAATTTCCAGGCGTTTTTTCCCGAAATCAAATTCTCTGACAATGCCAGGTTTCAGTGAACATGTAGAAACCCTTTTTATTTATTTCTAACACAAAAGTTTATTTAGTCGACCAAAAAAATAAATAAATTGAAAAAAAAATCTGAATTATTAAAATTAGATTTAATCTTCCTCACATTCTTCTGCCTCAGATGACTCAACCACTGCAACAGAATGGCGATCTAATAAACAACCTTGTTTTTCAACATTAAAATCCGAATTTTTTGACAGATAATGCCTGCTCTGAAGTTCACAGAAAACAATATGTTTCATATCTAATATTCGCTTTCTTAATCGTCGATTGACCTTCTGTAAATTTCTAGTCTTATTTTGAGAAACATTAATTTTCTTTTTACAAATTTCTAGTTCCATTTTCAAGTAAGCAACATTATCATGGGGATGGGTAGAAGTGGAAGCATCACACATAACTTTTGAAGCGCTAGATAATTCATTCGGCTGAATACAGGCATTGGAAGGTATGCTTGGGTCCAGTGATTCTAAATAAGGCACAGTAATACATGTAGAATTACTGGCATTATCTTCTTCTGAAGAATCCAGTTCTATTTTAATGTTGCTAATATTTGAGTTTTCTAACTCTGAATGATCGGACTGTAAATTTCCATTTCCCATTAAATTATTGATGTTTGCAGTACTTGTTCCTTCGTATGTCCGGTCAATTTTTTCTTTTTCAAGCAAAGCCTAAAATATAAAATATTTAAATGAAATAAAAGTATGTATACATTAAAAAGTATGTTTTATCAAAGTAATCATTAAATAAATACAGGGTAATTGTAAAATAACTGTGCAGTCTTACAACTCTTTAGCAAGAATACTCTGACAGAATTAAAATTTATTATGTTGATATTATGGAGTATGTGTTAAAAATTGTATTAAAAAAAGCTTGTTCCTTACAATAACAGTTACAGAGACAAAATTTTCAAAGGTAACGTCAACTTTTTTACTTTAAAACATCATCCTCACAATTATAATAACTAAAATTAAGTGGTTGTAAACCTGCTCATTACGCTTGTTAACCACAACTGCTCTTTTATACTGGACACAGCTCAAAATGTGTGATTAAGAAAGTCAACACAACTTAAAAAAAATGTTTGAGAAAATAGATACAGCTAAAAAAGTGTATTTATGAAAATCATAGCTGCCAATATGGATAGGAAAAAGTCCAGCAGATTTTACAAAATATAAATTTCATGCTAACTGATGTACAATATACTAAATATTTTACATATAGGGAATTTTATTGCCATCAAAATACACAAACTTAATTAATGGTAAATTACATTTACCAGTTATGATTGATATTAAATGAAATTGAAATACCTTTTTTAACGTTAACACATAATTTCTAATAGTAATAGACAAGTAATTTATTATCGATAGTTTAAAGATATTTCAAAGAGAGTTTGGAATAAAAATAAACTGAAAATTTCAAAAAAGAAAGAAGAGCTTTAAACTGAATACTATAAATGAAGCTTACTTCATTATACAACACTAATTTAAATATTCAAGCAAGCAATAAACTGTGACTTAATTTTAAGAAATTTGACTTCAGGGAATTTTCTAAAATGTACAAAAACAGAGGGAAATTTAATTAAAGCAGTAAACCAGGAGAAACTGGTAAAATCCAGTAGTCAACTGGTAAATCCAGTAGAGTTAGCAGCTATGAAATATGAACTCAGCTTATGTGTTAAAAGAATTCGGAGAGAAAAAATGTGCTTTTTTAATGTTCAGCCCAAATTTCGCAACTTAATGAGGAATGTTTTTGCACTTCTCCATACTTTTTTACGCTAAGCATAATCATTAAAGGGGCAAAGTATCTTAATTTGGAGTCAGAGTGACTGGGTATATAACAGATGTAACTTTTCAAGTGATCTCATTGTACTCAAAATGCAAATGCAAGATTTCAAACATCTAAATTCTTGTTACAATGTAAATTTAATATCACTTATATACTTATAGGGCTTGTGACAAGGCTCTAAAAACAAATGCTTAATTTTAAAGTCATTTCACAAAAGAACAATCTTAAAAAAAATTTTACTGACATATACAAATGGACGATGTCATATTAAGAATTAATTTGGATCCATTAGTTTATACATTAAAAAAAGAACAGAATTCAAAGGAGAAGTTTGGAAAGTGGAATCAAATGCTATGTCCATATTCTTAAATACTCATTTTGAGCAGTATCCATTTTCTTAAATACTCATTTTGCGCAGTATCCATTCTTAAATACTCATTTTGAGCAGTATCCATTTTTCTAAATACTCATTTTGCGCAGTATCCATTTTCTTAAATACGCATTTTGAGCAGTATCCATTTTTCTTAAATATTCATTTTGAGCAGTATCCATTTTCTTAAATACTCATTTTGAGCTGTATCCATTTTTTTAAAAAACATGCATTTTAATGTATGCTCATTTTCACTATGTTTATTTTGTTAAATGTACATTGTGAGGTGTGCCCATTTTCTTAAGCATGCACTTTCTGATGTATCCTTTTTATTTAACATGCATTTTAGCTCTGTTTACTTTATTAAATGCACATTTTGAACTGTGTCTATTTCTTTAAACAGCCATTTCAAGCTAAGCCTATTTTTCAAAACGTTGCAATTTCAGATGTATCCCTTTTTGTTAAACATGAATTCTTAGCTGTGTTTATTTTTCAATTCATGTTTTGAACTGTGTCCATTATGTTGGGACAAAAGCAATACACACTCTTTGCTTTGATGCATTTTGTGTAAATAAAGACTACACTTTTAAATTGTAAATGAAACAAAAAACTCAGGCGAAAAATTTACATTGAATTAATAAGCATCATACTTCTGGCCGTTCTCTGTTAAGATAACTAATCTTTCTCTTAGGTTACTTTTATTAGAACTAAAATATAGCTCTAAATTACTATGCTACCTACGTAAATAATTTAGCAAAATTAAAATAAATAAAGAAAAGTTTGTTTATTTTATTCTTTTATAACCATAGCAGGGCTGAAGAAAAGGTTCTGCAGTAGAGTAATAATGGTTCTCCAAAAATTATTTTTAACAGAAAATTATTCAAAATAGTAATATAACAAGAGTGTACAAATTTACAGGAATTTCATACTGTTCATAGAGGTCACTAAATAAGCTCTTTCAACTGAGCAGCACTGGGCAAAGCTGCAAGTACAACATAAATTATCAATTATATCACAATAAGTATAGTATGATATTGTCTTTATAATTTACTCCTATACTCTATTTATTTGAAAGTCATAATTTTCTAAAAAAGGAGACATAGAGCAGCATTTATGACAAAATGTATAGTATTTATCTGAAGAAAAAAAGAAGAGATATTTTTCTGGGTTCCCACCCAATTTCAAAAAGAAAAAAAATTCTGACTTTTCCATGTACCCTTAGGTAAACATTAATTAAATTCCAGACAATATTTTATCTATACCATGCAATTTTTAACCAGAAAACTTTGATTTTTTTTATTTATAATGACAAATATTAGATTTTAGGATCAAAAACATATAATGGAATGATAATGGAAACATGGTAAAGTTTCACTAAAAGGTAGAGTTTTATAAAAAAAAAGTTGTAATAGATGTTGGAATTATTCAAATCTAATCTCAATAATTGATTACTGTCATTGACAATTCTAAGACTGGTTATTTTTCAGGAATGATATTGGAATTTATCCAGGTTTTTTGTAAAAAATTGCAACTTTCCCTGACTATCCCCTGCTTTTTAGAATTAAAATAAAATTCCCGAACCTTTCGGTTTTCCCTAACCTTTAGATAGTTTCCCCTGACCTTTTTTTTTTTTTTTTTTNTTCCTTTTTTTTTTTCACTAACCAAAATAACACCTTGCAATGGTGTTCTATTTCAAGAATAAACACAAAGGTTATTAATACTTCAAATATAAGATATACAAATTTATTTTAATTCTATGAATGTGCTGTGTAAAATATCAATGTAAAAATACTAGTTGGTTTAGCTGTAAGCCAAATATTAAAACTTAAATTGCTTTTGATTGAAATGCAATCTATCTTGTCTTGTTAAATGATATGACCTAATTAGAACATAATTGAAATTATACAAAAGTTCTTGAATAAATTAAATAACATTTACCTGTTTCATAAATGATGGCAAATCGTCAATTTTGCCGTTGGTGGCAATTGTCGGTTTAGAATCACTCCCTACCTTTGAGCAAGACCAAACTTGTACCAATTTAGGATCTAAGGGATGTCTGTAAATAAAGAAGAAAATGTATACTAGGTACTGTAAACTGATGTTATTCTTCTGGCAACACTGTGATGTATAATCAAGCTTTGGATTCAACAATTTTTTTTAAAAAAACAGTAGGGAATTACAAACCAAAATGTTCAGATTGTCAGTTAATTTTGACAATTTTTTAAAAGGATCAACATGGCATAAATGTTACAAAGTGGTGTATCACATAAGTCTTTGAATTCTTTAGAAGTATTAGTGAGTAAAAACGTTAGAAATCGAATTTACTAAACAAAGAATCATACAATAAAATATCAATACTTGAAAATATTTATCTGTTGTCCAGAGCAAGTTGGCCCCTGTGCATAATCAATGGACATTTTAATAGAAATTTGAGTCTGTTAACAGACCATTCACAAAAAAATTGCATCGTAAAAAGATAAAAAGGACCTATTGATAAAAAGGACCCTTTCCAAAATTTTTATGACAAAAACAAAACAAAAAAAATCTACTAATAAAACAATTCTAATTCATAATGTTAAAACCAAACTCCATGGAACACACATTGTTTGCATTTCTTTTCCTTAAAAAATATTATTATTTTCATTCATTCACAAAATTGTGAAGATTTCTCACAATTCCACAAATACAGAACTTTAACAAAAATTTTGGTCACTGGTTTTTGTAATTTAAAAAAAAAGAAAAAAAAACTCAGTTTCCCCCTCCCCTTTTTTTAAAAAAATTTTACACCCGCCATTGTCTTCTCAGACATAAGGCGTCTTGCAGTCCAATACAATAGTGAAACAGCTCCATAAGGTTAGAGGCCACGAAAGTCGTCACAGGAACGTTCCATTTTTTTAAAAAACAAATTCATAAAATTATGGGTAGATTTTCACGACTTCAAGAAAACAGACTGTATACAAAATGCCTGGAATAACTCTTGATATTAATACAAGGGTTAGCATTTCATCAACAACAAATTTATTTCTTCAAAGACACTGAAAAAATTGGATAAACAGAAAAATGAACAAAAAAGAAACTGGATGAAATGCAAGAAACTAAAAAAAGACTAATACGATTGTTAAGCAATATATGTTTTAAGAATAGCATAAATTTAAACAAATAAAATTGACTATAACATCAGAAAGTTTTTAAGTTTTTCAAATCTACTTAAAAAAAAAAAAAACATTTCCCTATTTAACTCTGACTCCATATTTACTTACTTAGACTCCATTACTTAGCTCTTATACTTACTTAGACTACATTATTACTCCATATCTACTTATTTTTCCATATTTACTTTATGTAGTTTCATACAGAATTTTGAAAATCAATGCATTATTAAGATTTTATAATAAAATTTATCTTCCAATTTCTTCTTTCTTTCTCTACAGTTTTTTTTTTTTTTTTTGCAATTGCTGAAAAAAATTTTTGTACTAACATCCAATATTTAGTAAATATTTCATTATTTTTTAATGAATTAATTGCATCCAAACAATATTTTGTAATAAATTATATTGACTCATAAAGTTAATAAAAGTATTTTTTAATGAAAAACTGACATAAAAATAACTTTAATTAAAATATAACATATAAAACAGTTGTTGCCATAATAAAGATTTCAAAATTCATCATAAAAACTTTTATTTTTTAAAAAGTGTCATATTTTAATGATCTGTGCTTATTAGAAATTAAAACTTCCATTGTCCTTTTATATTTTTTATGGGAATGTATATTTTTTTTCCTTATTAGTATTTGTTGTTAATCTAAAACTATGCTAAAGCTGCTAAATGTTATTTACTCATTTTTAAATTTTATTACTTTTCAGTTATTTCAGTAACATACTATTACATTCTAATTGATAATAGTTTTATCTGTTTCTAGCATTGTTCCTAGCATAAGTAGCATTTTATATATGTGTGCTTACATATGAAAAAGTCTATCACATTTATTTGCTTTGGAAAATATCTTCACATTTTAAACTTTATAAGAAAATTTATTTAAAATTTTGGTTTTAATTCGTCAAATTATCACAAAATCGGTTGCCATTTTTTTCTGGTCATAAAATATTTACTTTTTATGAAAATCTTCAAAAAATGGATTAATATTTTAAATTCGAACTTGCTATAGGTGTAAAAGGACTCACTAATTTTAGAAGTTATGAAATAGAAGTTAGAAATTTGGAATTCTTTATGTTTGGAAGTGGGACCTTAAATCTAGTATGATGAATTTTACTTGCTAAAAATGTTTTGAAAAAGTTACTGTAACAGAAAAAAAAACTATACATTTATGGGAAATTTCAAACTAAAAAACTATGTTCTGTTGAAATATTAGGCTTTGAGAATTTTCTGCACCCCTAAATGAAACATCTGATTTCCCAAGACGAATGCAGCAAACCATACATTTACATCTTCCTTTTCTTGAATTGATTCTTCAAATGGTTCTATTAATTTTAGGGCATATGGTAATTTTATATTCAAATTGATTCCTGATTTCTAGATATATTTATATTACTTGTATAAAACTTCAATAAAATTAAGTTATGGCATTTGACTTACGATTCTTGACTAGTTTCCTTCCCGTTGGAAATAAAGGTTTTAGCAGTTGACACAGGTAAATTTTCAGATGATACAGCAATTATTCTCAACTGTTCACCTATGAGAAAATATGATAAACATAAAAGCTATTAATAACTGTAAGAGTTAAATAAAATAATTGTNTATATGCAGGGTGATTCCACAATCATCGGCAAAATTAGAAAGGGTGATTGAGTGTACTAAAACATGTGTTTTTTGTTTTAAGATAAAAGATTTTTTTTGTTTGCTTTGTTTACATGCACAAATGCAAAAAATCATCGAAAAAATGAGAACCTAATTGTTGACTTTTTCATGGAAAATATATTTCAATATATTTCATATTCCCTTGACAGCAATCGAGATGCATGAACAGCTTTCAGTGAGAATGGTTTGTTACTTTGATGAAAAAGTATAGACTGTTGATTCTGCGCTGAAGAATACTTTGCATTAAAATGAAAAGTTTATTTCCAAAACGCTTGAATTCTACACAAAATTCTACAAAAAATATTTAAAACAAGAAGAAAAGCAGGAAACATCTTAACTCTTCTCTTAAGATGAAAACCGATTAACCATTTAAAAAAACTGTTTAACATCAGACCAACTGAAGAAAGAGTGCTCCAAAAGCTCCGTGTTGCGGACCCAACAGATCCAAGGATCACAAATAAGTAACACTTTGCTTGCTGTTTGACACAAAAAAATAATTAAAATAAAAAAAACTACACTAGGCAGTTTTAACAACAAAAAAAATTTTTTTTTTTTGCTTCTAAAAATTAAAACTATTATTCTTGCATAATAAAAAATTATTGATATTTTTTTTATTCATCATCAACATAATGTTTCATCAGTTTTGAAGATTCAAACCTTGTTTGAACGTTATCTTATGCAATATTAAGAAATTTACAGCAATTATTTCTTTTTTACATTAAGGCTATATTTATAAAAAAAAGTTAAAATATAAAATCATTGGTCCGTAGGGATTCTAGATACATGAACAGTATGATTAAAAATGTACCATATCAAAAATAAAGAATACAAAAAAAAAAAAAAAAAAATTTTATTTTAATTGCTAAATAAAAAAAAAAAAAATTTTAATGGGTAGTGAAAACCATTTGTCTTCAAAAGAGGATGGCGAGTCAAGAAGCTTGGGTACCTATGGATTAAGTGCATATCAGACTTCTAAAGTATGCATAAACTTACCAATCACACTGGAATTCAAAGTTATGAATGACATTATTCTGCTGATGCATCGAGAATTGTGGTTTGCCTGGCTCACAATCAACTATATTTGCTGCATTGCCAGCCAATCACAACTGCAGTTCATATTACTGTTAGTGGTCTAAATTTTCAATGTTTATAGACTTATCACAATGAAGTACTTTGCAATGATTTCGTGAAAAACAGATTTTTCCTATCAAAAACCCTACAGTCCCATACAAAAAATACATATGTTAGTACGTTCAAACATCTGCAAGTGTGTCCTATAAATATATAATCACCCTATATAGCAGGAAAAAAAGAAAGATTACTAGGAAATGTGGCATCCATATTTACCTGAAGAATTTAAATCAGAGGGATCTACTTTCCCACGAATTCTTCGCGGATCATCTGTAAAAACTGAAGGTATTGCATAAGGCATTAATGTCTTGTACTTCAGCCCATTCTTAAAATCTGTTGGCGTGAAATGTCTGCTACAAACAACGGATGAATTCTTTGGAGTCCACAGCTCATTGGGTTTTTTACCTAAAAAGAATAAATGAAAAAACATATATATATCACAACAGTGAAGAACCAATAGATACAGAAATATATGTTTCTTATGTATAAAAAATATTCTTGCAAATTCTAATGAAATAAGGATATTTTTTCATTTGCCGTGCTGCAGGATCGTTATATTTCTGCAAGTATAGAATGTAATATTGCCAAAATTAAAATTCATAATTTTGTAATTATAAAGCCTTATAATCAAATTACCAAAAGAATTCAATAATCTTTATTATTAATATCTAAAAATAATAGCGATGTTATATTAATTATGTGTTAAGTTCATTAATTTATAGAAACCTTTACATCTTACTGCTTATTTACATTTGAAACTATAAAAAAATTGATTTTTATAGTTTTATTTCTTAGATATTTATCTCAGTTTTACTTCTCATATTTTGTTAAAAAGGTTGAAAAGCAGGAGAAAAAATTAAGAAACTTAGTCAATGGTCCTAAAGACCACAAACTAAAAGTTATTACAAGTCCATTCCAATTTTGTATTTTCAATTATCCATTTACATGTCTCTAAGTTTTTAAAAAAAAATGAATGAAGAAGTACATGAAAAAGTACAATACAGAAAATAAAGTATACCCCTGATTCTAAAAAAATATATTTTATAGTAAAAACATTGACCAAAACCTAAAACCAGAAATTCAAAACGGCTAACAATTCTTTTGCATCGAGAGATGGTCTGGAGGAAGTGGTCGGAAATCGAATGATACAATTAGCGAAATTAATGTAGTCAATACTTTCTTTCATAGTTTGTAGTATGGTGTTATATATTTTATAAATAATAATGCAGTGAGTAATTCAATACAAAATAGCATAAGTTTGTAGTGATTTATGGCGACTACTTTTAAAGTTAGTTTGGTAAGGAAACGAGGCTCAAACTAAACTAATTTTTCTAATTTGGTTTCATAAAAGAATGTTAAAGGAAAACCTAAAACCACATTCTGCTACCATTATGTTAGAACTTTTGAAATACACACTCTTTTCTTTGCTTCATTTTGTCAAAATAAAAACAGTCCCTTGAATTGTTAGCGAGAAGTTTATAAAAAATTTGACTTAAAAATGTACAAGCAGCTCTCCTGCTTATACGTTTTTACGAGTTATAAAAACAGTTTTTGCTCTTCTTCAGAACAGTTTCGACAAAACTATCTCAACAAAAAGTATCAGACAAAACAAGCAAACACCAACTTCAACATAAACCATATCCTCTGTGAGATCACTCCCTCAGTGATGTCACACTTTGTTTACAAACATATCAAAACAAAAGTGAATATTTAGGAAGATGTACTCTCCAAAATATACAAACAATGCCAATAATATTCAATTTATAAGAGGTAGAAAATTAATGTCACAACAAATCACTTAATTTTCTTCTATGTCACTGTTTGGTTATTGCTAAAAAGTATAAATTATTGAGCACACATATCAATATGGAAATCATTTTATGCTTATTTACTAATTTGTCAAAAATAATTTCAAAATTTTGCTATGGTAGAATGACATTCAGGATTTTAAAAACCCAGTAACTTAAAAATATTATCAAAAACCCAATATTTTAACCCTATATATTTTAACTGAAAACCTGAGTATTTTCGCAAAGAGCTTAAACTGAATAATCATCTAATGCAAAAAGTTCTATCGCTTGATTTATTTATTTTAATATTACCATTTATGATGTAAAATATCTTAAGCGGAGAATATGAATTGATTTGAAAAAAAAGGAAAGTTGAAAATGCTTCATGTAATCACCTCAATTAACGAATCAATTCTCTAATTTCCCGAAGTTAACAATATTAACTGACATAATTTGTTTAGCAGAAAGAGCACTAAACAAAGTTAAACTAATTGTTAAATTAAAGCTAAACTAAACTATATCTACTTTGACTTTAAGAACTCTTAGACACTTACAATTCTTATCTTTTTAATTATTCATTTTTAGGTAATATTAATTTTAAAATTGTGTATTTAAGCAAAACTGGAAGATAGCAATATCACAGTCTACGATAGAATAATTGTTATGTTTTGGCAACTTTCGGGTAGTAGTCCCCAAGAAACTAAAAAAAATTTTGTTATTTAAAAATCTTTTTGGCCTTTTGGTGATTGTAGCTGGCACAACAGATCAAGATACAGAAATATCCTTGCAAAAAGCAGTTAGGTTACTTTCCCTTTTATGATATGCTGACTTACAAAAAAGAATTGGCTCTGGCTTCATAAAGTGATCTGTGACAGAATAATCAACAAATCTTGGTAACTCCCGGGCAGAGGTCTACGAGAAACTAAAAAAATGAACATCACAGAACTAACTGGAAAGGTATAACTCATAACCACCCCCTGGGAAACATCTACATGCTTTTTTTTTTAATTTTTTGCACATTTAAAATCTATTGTAGGTGGCAATCGTAGTTGGTGCGACAGATCACGATATGGAAATATCCCTTTTTTGTAGCTTTTCATCTGCCACAGCCTTATTATTGACAATTATTAATAACTATTTTGGCACAGGACTGGTACGCTAATCCTCTTCTGCTCTTTACTTTCAAAGCATTAACATCAATTTATATAAGAATCAATGTTTTCAAGCAAAACTTTATTCTCAAGAATAATGAAACAATTAATATATTTTACCTCGTCGCCTGATTCTCAAAAGCCATGTTCTTCTTTTATCTAAATTATTTGGAAAACCATGGAATGTTATTTTGCTTCCATCAGTAGGATCGATATTTCCTTTCCGATCACTTCGACTACAGCAATAAGGTACACAACAAAGAACCATTGTTAAAACAAACTTGTTATAAGGCGAATTCTGAGAAAGCTATGAATATGCACCATTTAGTTTAAATGTAAATTTTGATTAGAAACTATTTTAATCAATTACGCTTTGCAGAAATACGCTAACTTCCTATTGATACACGTTGACCTCGATTTTACCTTATATAATGCAATCGGTGTTAAGAAACTATAACAAGCGAACCACGATTTACTTTGAAATCATTTTCTTTAAGTTTTGTCTTTTCATCTAAGCATTCAAGTGGAACCATTTTATCATACAAGATCTTATTTAAAGTAAAAACGTTCTTTAACTGCAAAAATTTATATGAGTGACAGAAGGGTTTTAAGTTTTAGTCCATACAACCTGGGATTTCGTTAATATCGGGAACTTCATTAATGAAAATTTATTATTGTTTTTATTTCCAATCTTGTCGAGAGTACACTCAACTAATATTCCAATTTTTCGAGTTTAAATAATTCTTTTTGAACGAATTCGTTTGAACAATTTACGAACGACGATTTTTCATAATACTTAGTAAACATCATTGCACAATCACCGTTAAAACCCAGAATTTTTAAGGCTTCCGGCCTATTTCTGTAAAAGCTATCAATTTGATGTGGCTCAAAAACTTATCTCGGGACTTCCGGGTTAATTTTCCCGATGTATTTCGAAGCTGTTTGGCTCACGTGATCATCGGCCATCGAAATGGGCTAACGGTGGCGTAGAACAGAAGTCTCTACCCATGGCAATATTTCGCATACTCTCACCATTAGCGTGTGGAGTCATAGGAAAATCATTAGTTTCTCTCTTAATTTTAAGCAGATAAAAAAGTTGGAAAACTATTAAAAGTTGAAAACTGTATTGAAAATAGTTCTAAAAGAAAGCATCGTGGAAATTTAAAAAAAATATTTTTGACAATTGAATAGGAAAAACATTAAGGAAGGGAAAATATCGTAGCACATTCCTATACAACTGAGGAGAGGTAAGGGGAGAGGTTCAAGACATGGAACCGGTGTTCTTCCTAGATTGCGTATTCGAGAGTTGCGATCATCACGAATTGTGTTTTGATATTATCTTGTTCTTGCATACGTGTATTTGTTACCCGATCTATTATTTGTGTTTAAAACAAGAATCACTATTTGAAGAACTATCTTTAAAAGAATGAATTTGAAAAAAAAATCGTTATGGATGGTTGGCCGTTTAAAGCTAAGCGCAAATGGCGCTAGGGGTTAAAATACGTCGTAATACTTCCGGGTTGCTACTTCCGACTGATTTGAAAGCCTAAGCATGAAAAACCGCGCCAGCCAATGTTATTATACTAGTAGTTCTTTCCATATATCGCGTTCTTTTAATCTAATTTTCAACGAAATAAACAAATGAATACTGGAATGCAGCCTCCCTTCCAACTCACCAGAATTAGCTAATATCATTCATATTTTATGAAATACAACAGATTTGAGCTCGGAAATTATATACTTTATTTCTTTTATTAAAAAACAGACGTTTAAAAACGGATGGTGTTTTCAATATAATGTAAACAACAATTTCGAGCTCTAACTTGCTCCACTATTGTGAGCCAAATAGCTTCAAAACACATCAAAAACAGTAACCCGGAAGTATAGGCAGTCAAGAGCTTGCAGCGCTTCCTAGTGTTGAAAACACCATCCATATCACTTAGCAAAATAAGCTGTAGGAAGAAGCTGTAGTAGTGAACTGTAGGAAGAAGATCGAGATTATTGTTGTTTACATTTATATGGATGGCTTGGTTGACCGTGTTTTTTTTTTTTTTTTTTTTTTTTTTTTTTTTTTTAGTAAAGCGAAGCATAGATGGCGCAAAGGTAAAATTCGTTATAGGACTTCCGGGTTACTACTTCCGATCGCTTTTTACGCCTAAACTTAAAAAAGCGTTCCATCCAATGCTCATAGTGTATTAATTGTATTTACAATATAACGCATTCTTTCAATTTAAATTTCAGAGAAACAAACAAATGAATTCGGAAGACTTCGCAAGCATGTTGTGCAGCCTAAAAAGTATTAAACGATGACATTTCACACAAATATAGCCAACTAAAGGATAACACTTAAGACATGACAAACCTTACACTTTATTTATGTTTTGATATTAATTTTCCTAAATTTGTTTTAGGCTCACAACAAGTAAGAATTTGTAAATTACAGGAAACTCTTATAAATAATAAAGTTACTCGTAAATTTAATCACATATTATTACAATAATAAAACTTTCTAGAACATTAAGCCTGTTCACACATCGCCTAGTAAGCGTAACATAAGTAGGGGGAATACACCAGAAGTTTCCAAATTTCTTCCGGCTTTAGGAAGCTTGTCATTGCTTACATTCAATCAACCATCCATAGAAATGTATTAGGATATTTTCCCCTTTTTCAATATTTTTCATATATAATTGTCAAAATATTTTTTTTATAGTTTCCGCGATTCTTTCTTTTAGAACTATCATCATCATCAGTAGCTCGACAGTCCTGGGTGGACCCTGGCTTTCTCAAGAAGACTGCACCAGTCCTTTCTTCTGCGTGCCACGGCCTTCCAGTCTCTGACCTTAATTGTGGTAAAGTCCCTTTGGAGGCAATCCGCTCATCTCAGTCGGGGTCTGCCTCTCTTTCTAACTCCCTTTTAGAACTATGTTCAATGTAATTTTCAGTTACATATTGGCGATTGCAACTCTCGAATATGCTACCTGGGGAGAGACCGGTTTCATGCCTTTGGCCCTTCCCTCTCCTCCTCTTTTCAGTTGTATAGGATGTACTACGATATTTTCCCTTTACTTAATATTTTTTCTTTTTATATTTAATAAAAATATTTTTTAAAATTTCTATGAAGCTTTTCTTTAGAACTATTTTTAATGTAGTTTTCAGTTTCATATAGTTTTCCAACTTAAAAGATTTTAATCTATATGAAAATTAAGAGAGAAACTAACGTACTTCCTTCCTCTACGACTCTCCACACGCTAATGGGGAAAACATGCGAAGTGTTGCCATAGGTAGAGAGTTCTACTCTACGCCACCTGCAGCATATTTCGATCGCCAATAGTTTCCTAACTTAAGTTTTAATCCATTTGAAAATCAAGACAGAAACTAACGTACTTCCTTCCCTCATGACTAACGACACGTTAATGGAAAAACATGCGAAGTGTTACCATAGGTACAAAGTTATGCTCTGCACCACCAATTGAAAGCGAATGCTGGCTTTCCAGTAGTTACTTTAACTGAAGTAACTTTATAACTACTTTAAGCTACTATATATATTATATAATATATATAGTATATTATTATAGTATATATATACTATATTATAACTACTATATATAATATACTATATAGTATATTATATAGTATATATATACTATATTATAACTACTTTAAACTACTTTATAACTACTTTAACTCCAGTAGTTACTTTAACTGAGTTACTTTACTTTAACTGAAACTAATTTTTTCCTGTTGCAAATATGGATCGGAAAATTAAAACGTTCAAATTTTTTGTATTTGTCGGTAGCGACAAAACAAAATCTTCGTCTTTAAGGGAGCATAAAATATTTTTAATTTATCTATTGAGGAGAAATTTAATGATCATGCAGTCATCTGGAAAGGCGAAATTTCATCACACTATTAAAACAAATTTGGAAATCGACATAGAAGAGAATTTGTTGATGGTAAAATAAGTATATAGCTTACTTTTGTATAGCAAGAATTAGTGTTTCATGTCAGCATTCAGTTGCATTGTTGATATTTCAGTAATTCGCAATTTTTTTTTAAATATTTTCTTTTATTTTCAGATTAACACAGCAAAAATCTATTATAAATTTTTATTGTGTTTTTTGTCCTCTATATATTAAATTTTTTATGTTTAGTTAAACGTTGGCACCACTAACCCGAAGTGAACTTACGAAAAGCTATATTGCGATATTGAAAATCACAGTATTCTTTACATTTTTGTCGAAATAATGATTGTGCTTAGCATATGAAAAATTATGCAGCGTGCATTCAATTCCTAAGTAGAGAAATAATGTTATGAAAAATGTCCATCAATTCCTTTAAATTCTGTAGGGCCTTATTCTTTAACTAAATTATCAATTTTCTCTTATGATGTTCCCATTCGAAAATTTATTCTGATTTCTCCATCGCTTTATTCATATGAGTTTTTTCTTTCAGTTGGATTTTTTCGCAATGGTTCTTAAGGGAGGGATAAACCGATTCTCCATTGAAAAGCTAGGGGATGATTCTACAAAACAAGGGTATGTGTCCAAGATAGAAGAGAATATATATATATATAAACTCAAATATTGAAAACGAATGGGGTTCATATTAAAGAGACTACCTTGGAGGCTAATAATGCAGTATAAAAACATGGGGGGGGGGAGTAATCAACGATTGACTTGATGAAGAGTGTCGAAACCCCTTGGAGTTGAAAAATATTGCAAGACAAAAAAAAATGCTATAGAATGTAAACGTAGAATAGCAAATAAATTGTGTGAAATGAAGAAAAAATCTTTTCTAAATAATAAGAGTGAATAGCTTATTGACAATCATAGCAAAAATGAAACCAAATTTATAATGAAACCAAAATGCAGGTAAATGTTTTCCAACCTCATATTTTAAACTGTAGAGGTATGAATGGTGAAATTATTTCAGATTTACCAAGCGTTAGAGAAAGATGGAAAAATTACTTTCATACTTTACTGTCATCAAACAATACAATAAAAGTGAATAATTATGATAACCATAATGCAAACTGTAGAGGAATTCCAGTGCAAACGTTTGACTAAGTGAAACAAATCATTCTAAAGATGAAAAATAACCAAGGTCCAGGAAGAGATCAAATTTGAGAAGATTTTATAAAACATCATAGAGCTAAGTTGTGGCATAAAATTTATGAACTAATGACCCATATCTGGAAACAGCAGGATTGGGACTTAAGAATTATTGTCCCTATTTACAAAAAGAGCGATAAATTAAATTACACAATTTACAGAGGTATCACAGTTCTAAAGGTGACCTACAAAATACTTACCAGCTAATTTACAAGAAACTTCTACAAAAAACAGAATGAATTTTGGGCGATTACCAATGTGGTTTCAGATCAAATTGCTCAACTGTCGACCAGATACACACAGTTAGAAACATTTTTGAGAAGCTTTATGAATAAAATATTGACTTGTTTGCTCTTTTTGCCGATTTTAAACAAGCATTTGATTGGGTGGATACATTCAAAATGATTGAAATTTTAGATGAGCTAAAGTTACCAATCAAATAAGCCAAACTAATCCAAATTTAAAGGAATCTAAAGCTACCATGCTGATCCAAGATGATTTTTTAAAAACTTTCGACATCAATGTGGATGTTCAACAGGGAGATGTATTATCGCCTCTACTTTTTAATTTTATGCAATGTTTATAATAAATGTTCAAAATTGTTATTATCAGAAAGCAATACAAGCTTAGCAGCATTGGTGAAGTGATTGGCAATCGAATTTAAATAAGTTGGATATTTCACACAGGTATGCAGCATGTACGTGCAGCAGCACAGGATAGCTGAGCACTCGTTAAGTATGATGCTAATGAACATTTTACCTTTCTGTTTGTGCCTCAATGCTTCAATTCCGTCCATATATTTCTATACAATATATATATATTTTAGTGAGCTCAACCACTCTTCAAAGTTTGCCCCATGATTTTATATATTTTTATACCCCTGCATATATTTTTATATTAAAATCATCTATCTTAATTAGTTACTAAATGGAACAATGCAAGATCAACTAAGGCATTACAATTTTAGATTTTGCGAAAAGCCTTCCAGCTTGTGCATAGCTGCAAACTTGTACGGTCATTTAGGAAAAACTTACTTAGTTTTTGCCTCATTTATTATGATGTAAAAATCTTAGTTAAAAAAAAATTAGCTACAAATTATCCTTCATAAAACTTCAGTCTACCGTTACCCCATCAACTAATGGATCTAACATGTCAAGGATGTGTCGCATTGGTTAACAATTTCCTTATCGCTTGTTCTACCGCAATAAACTTCACTTGTAAAACTTATTGTACATATAGGGGCAGCACCTAAAAATACTTGACTGTATATACCAATATACCATGAATAGGTCATTATAGAGTCAATTCTGTGCCTCGGTACAATACAAAATAATCCTGATATTTTCAAGCCCCTTGAAACATTTTAGTAGATTTTCACAAACCATTTCCCTTGGCCATATTTAAATATCATCTCCCAGATAGTCAGCAAGCTTAACAATAACTTCCTTAAAAATTTATTTAATGAGGTTCCCTAGGCATCCCTAACCCCCCAAAAAAGCTAACACCTCAAAATTCATATTTTGCTTCAGCTTAACAGGTGTAATGACAACCCGTTCTTTAGCGCTCATTCTTCTCTTAGTTACAATCCCTTCCATGCTTTTGACTAGTAAGTTTAACAAAGCAAATAAATTTAACTATGTAAACTTATATAATTACATAGTGATACATCTAATGGTATTGGAAATCCCCGCATCTAATGTTTTATGTGGATAAGCTTGATTCTGTCAATAACATTAAAGGTTAATCCATAATATATTTCTAGACATACCTTCACTATCCATGTTAGGATTGTCTTCATCATCATCACTCAAACGTAACATTACTTTTTTCCTATAAAAACAATTTCTTATATAAATTCATAATAATATGCATATTAAAGCAAACACAATATGGATTTAAAAAACTATGCAAACAAATTTAAATACCAATTAAAATGGATATTGCGATTTAAAAAAACGTGTATATGCAAAGCATGACCATTTAATTCCCGACCTAATTATTTTAATTTTTTTAACAGTAATAATAACAATATATAATAAACTTCCTTGACCACATCAAATTCTTCTTTTATAAAATCTTTTATTGACTTTATAATTAGCACATACAAAAAATAAATAATTATCAACAGTAAAATGCATAGAATCTCAACTTCGTATTGGTGAAATAGTGTAACAATGAAATAGTGTAAAAATAGTGTAAAACCAGCGGTTTTAACAATACTTAGTTTAAGAAGGGTATCCAATGTAAAACAAAATAAAACGTCAACACCTCGGGAGAATTTAAATTAGTTAAACCAAAGTTGGCAAGTTTTTAACAATTGAATATTTATCTTATTTTAATCATCATGTCCACGGACTGACAAATCCGGGATGGCCAGTTGTGTGGGCAACTAATTGTTTCTACATATGATTCTTCTTATTTTTATTACAAAATTTTTTTTTTAAAAAAAGTCCCATTGGTGACAAACCATTTTAATAAATTCTTCTATTTATAAATTTTATTTTGTTTAAAAAATATCTGTCCACACATTATTTCTAATCTAAGATCACTTCGTTCCATCGAACATACATTATGCAATGCTAAGAAAGCTATATAGCATTTGCTATGGAAACTTTTATATGTGGTGTGCCTGTTTAAAGGCGTTCAATTCCAATGATGTTTCATTCAAAAAATTCAAGTGACGTTTTGCTTTTACATGTTAACTTTTTAAATCAAATACAGAAAAATATAAATGCAGGAAACTTTCTAATTTATGACCAAATTTTCACATTTTATGACATCCATTTAAAACCTTACACACACTTCGCTATTCCAAATTCTAAGATAACTTGAAACTATTTCTTAAAGTCTAATGTTATATAGTCCTTGCCTTCCCCAAAGCTGCCAAGTTAAGGTGGGAGAAGCTGTATTGCATCCCCATCCCGGTACTTCTTTCTAAGGATGTGAATTTATTGCATGTTCAGTGAAACAGTCCTTCCCCTACACTTTCAAGACATGAGAAACCATTTTTTTTTTTAAAAAAAACCTTTATATTTTTAATACAAATACATTACAACATAAGAAATTTGAACATCGGTTTTTGAACTGTTTACTGAATTTTAACTTTGTGTATAATTCTTTGCAGCTTAAAAGAGTGCTTGAAAGACCATTAAAGATTCCACATTCAAAAAATCTCTTATAATTCACTAAATAAAAAGTCTTTTATTTCGACATATATAACATATTTTGACATACATAATGTTTTGTTTCATTCTAAATCATTACAAATTTTTTTAATTCAAATATTCTATTTGCATTTAAGTTGCTCAATAAATATTTATTTTTCTATCTTACTCCTAAACATTACTATTAATTTAGTTTAAAATAGATTTTTGCGTCATGGAAAGTGGTAAAAAAAAACATTCCTAAAAGATGGGGAAACTGTTATTACAATAAATCTATTTTTGATAAGAAGGAAGTTTTTTTAGAAATTAAAATTTTTATTAAAAAGGTCTATTTCGAATTGTAGTCACTTTTTGATGTGTTAAATTTGCAACATTTCCATCATTTCTGATTTCGTAACAATTACGATAATTTCTTTGGAGGATATTTATTGTTTTTCAGCTATTTTCAGATGTTTATTATTTTCTTTTCAAATTCTAATTTTTTAAATGGAACGTTAATATGATACATGAATTTGATTATAACTTTCTAGCATGACAACATGTGTGTATGATTCGGATTAATTCCATAATTTTCTTCCTTCTTTTGAAGCTATTAATCATTTTCTTTTTTTGCCCATTTACACATGCTTTCTGAATTTTGATGTTCTTAATGCAGTGTTATTATGAATCACGAATTTTTGATTTAAGTTATCAGTTTTTGAAATACTGAATTGGTGACAATTTCATATTAAAAATACATGTCATTTTCTGATAGTTTTAGGAGTCTTTTTTATTGTTTTTTTTTTCTTTCAAAAAATACGATTTTCTAAATATGATGTTACGCAAATATGCGAAATTAAATAATAATTTTTAAACAAGCCCAATTTGATGATTTCATGATAAATCTCAGCTAATTTACAATTGTTTTTTCTGAAACTATCTGGGTTTTTTTTTTAATTTTGATGTTTTTAATACAATGTTATTACAACAGACAAATTTTGAATTTGACTCAAAACTTTTTGATGTGCTACACTCACAACGATTTTATCGCAAATCCACACGATTTTTCTGATTTTTTTGCTCTGATAATTTATCATTTTCAACCATTTCTATGTGAGTTCTTTTTTTTCTCTAACTTATGTTAATACTATATGCAAATTTTTAAGTTGAGATATCCCTTTTTAATAAACTTGGTTCTCAAGGATGTCATCATATACTCACGTCATTTTCCGATCGTTTCTTTGACAGTTATTTATCGTTTTTTGGCCATTTACGCAGAATTTTTCGAATTCCAATACTATCAATACCATGCTAATACAAGACGCAAATTTCGAATTTGATATGTCACTGCTAGAATGTCATAAGTTTGTCTAAAAAATTCTAACTATTTCTCGACTATCAGGATTTTTATGACTGATAGACACCCTGTAAGAATAAGCCCAGATACATGAAAGTACGATCATCAAATGAAAAGTTATTTAAGGTGCTCCATTTTTTGTGCACTTCACATAAACGTTAACAAAAAATATTAAGAATCACAAAAATTTCACTAGTTAAGATAAGACTATTATTGGCAACCAGTTTAATTTTACTGAAGCAAAAAAACGTAACATAAGAGAATTAAAATCAATATTCTGATTGATAGCAATAAGCAACTCATAGTTATTATCTGTTACATAAATGTTATAGTTATATTAAAATAGGCCAAATAATAATGGCTTTTAAGTATAAACTGCACAATATTTTTTGAAAGAGCAGTTAATAATTTCAATTATTTATTATTTTTAACATGACATATAATATTAATTATTATTAGTAATTATAATGGAAGTGTTGCGCATGAATAAAATGTAACTTGGCTTTTTATAAAATGCCCCAAAGGACATAAAAAAAATTTGCCACAGGTTTTTGACAGTTTATAGCACTTTTAGATGCCTGTCAAAAATCAGTTTTTGATCAGTCTTTAAAACAATTCTAAGGGGATGAGATCATTAAAAATACTGCATTTTTAACATTTTTCTGTACCTATATATTAACTTACATTCTATGAGCTGTCTATTAGAAATTCAATGTACTCACCCAATCAAATTCTGATACCGTTGTTCCGTTTCCGATACTTTTGAAACTGGGAGATACAGGCTAGGTACAGCAGTTTTCTCAAGATTTGGTCTCTTAGTAGGAACATCTAAAATACAAAAGAAAATGTTAATAGAAACAAATGTATGTAGCTATACTATATATTGAAAAAAACATGCAAATCAACAATCTTAGAATGATTTTAAATAATAACTAACGCTTACCAATGAACTGAATAATATTGCAAACTTTTCAAGTCTTTTAGATTCAAATTACAGAAATGGATTTATAAACAATTTTAATACTTAAGGACAGGATTTGTGATTCAATTTAATTGATTTAAGTTCGATTTTTTTTTCTTTTAAATACTACAAACTAAAAACTATTTAGAAAGTTAGAAACACAAATCAAGCAAAAAGAGAAGAATTTCTAAAGATGCTAACATACATTTCTTTAGAAAATCTTCATTTTTTTTTCTTTGCTTGATTTGTGTTTCTAAATTGTTAAAATTAAGACAAATTTTGTTTTAGCTGCTTTTAGCGCTTTTCCATTTTGACTTATTTTAAATGTTAATGTTTTTTAATTTGTTTAATTCGGTTTCATTCTGTGATTGAAATGAAAAACTATTGAATAACATGCAAATACATGATTCAAATTTAACATTTTAAACAAAATTTTTAAAAACAATTATGGTTAATTAAATTGTGTTGCTCAATACTCTTACTAGGGAATTTAAAAAAAAAAAAGAAAGAAAGAAAGAAACCAACATTTAGGACCAACATGATTTAAAATGGTTTAATGCAAACGAAATTCATATTTCCCAAGATACCTCACAAAAAGATACACCAGAATACTACAAATAAGTCAATACTGTATAGAATTATATTTAACTAAGAAATATTCAATGCATAAATAAAGTCAGGGTCAGAATGACCATAGATATGACCAGGGTTTGAAATAAGTGGTCATAAGTTATAATTTGCATTTAAATATTTTAATTTATTTCTTGACGCATGCCTCTGTTTCCAAACACTTCTAATGCTCTTGATCCTGAAATCGGTATTTCTCATTTCTTTCATCCGAAGAAGAGTCACAATGTGATTCCTTTTCGAATGTTTTAAAAATCATATGCCGTGATTTGTCTTCTTACAACTTAAAAAATTCTCATTAAGGTGACTTAAGATTCTCTTATTGTGATTTGTATATCTGCTATTTGAAACCACACATCCCGATTGCTATTCACGAAATGAAAGCAAAGTTAGCTGAGCTGACTAATATTGAAATAGATTCATCGATTTCCAAGCAAAGCTAGCGGAATTCTTTCTCATATGATTGATATAGCGATGTAACGAATATCTGGCTAGTTGGCACAAAATAGATAAAAGTGTGAATTAAAGGGAAATATTAGTTTAGTCTACATTAATGTCGGAGGATACTGGATTTCAGGCTCAATATCAGGCCCAATATGTAGTATCCGACCAGAGTAAGATCTGTTGGATTGCTAGTTTGATGCACTTGATAAAATTGCTGAGAAGAAAAGGAACAAGCAATACCCACTGTACAATCAGCAAACATGAAACTTCCTTCTGAAGAATTCAGAAAACTAAAATACACTGACATTTTCCTATTATCTTGGTATTTTTGCTATCAAAAGATATTGATGAAAATGTTCTTGATGCTGAAACGTTGACCCTTCCCAGATTGTTTGTGTGTAGATAAATTAGACATCCAAAATTTTAAAATATAATCATAATTAATTTAATAAGACCTATTATATAGACTCTATCATCGAAATTCTAGGGTATTTCATTTTATTTGGTTAACAAAACTATTTGATAAAATGGAACATTGACTATTCAATTAAATTTATATATTAGTTTCTTAGATAATTTAATTTAATTTTCTCTAATAATAATAATAATACACAAGTTGAAAATTTTTAGCTTTTTTAATGATTTTCAACACTTTAAGTTACATTCTGAATTACAGAGTAATAAAAACTAAGAGGGGCCAAATTGGCCCCATCCGTCATTCTAATATTAAACAAAACTTAAATCTACATACTGTGTAAAACAAAATCTGAATTCTTGAAATGTTTACTGCATACAATCATTCTTTCAGTAACGAATTTCCCGATTCTTAAGAGACGGATCCATTGCAATCGCCGCAATTCGTCTTTAGGAAATCTATGAAAACTTAGTTGAGGGTTGTTTTTAGCCCTAGAATTGCACTGTGGTACACAACAATAACTCCGATCACCCTTTGTACACCTTTTTCTAATTATTCTTCGTTCCATTTCAATTGCCAAGAAACACAAACTACTTTCATTACAATCGCACCTGAGATGGTGGTGACTGACTGGCATTTTTGAAGCCTTTGCTGTTTGTTACTTATAGCTCGCTTATTAATTTACGATCAAAACGCACGACAGATAGCGCAGCCTGTGGATGGTTGACCGAGCAAAACGCAGATGGCGCTAGGGATTAAAATTCACCGCGTGACTTCCGGGTTACTACTTCCGATTTATTTCTACGCCTAAACTTGAAAAAGCGCACCATCCAATATTATTATAGAGATAGTGTTTATAATATAAAGCCCCAGGTAGCACAATGATATTATCTAACATTAGAAAGATGCAATATAATACTAAAATTTGCACCCATTCATAAAACCCGTTTACCCAAAGATAATTTCATGCAAAAAATAATTTTCTATAATTATTTACTGTTTTTTTAATTATTATTTAATATTTAGCTAAGGATTTAAAAGTTGGAATATGAGGTTTAAATTTTTTAATACCACATTAGTCTACATATTTTTCTATTAAAAAATTTAAAGTTTCAACTGTCCTTATTTAGTAGAAACGAAGAAAAAATTAAAATTAATAATTTGGTGAAAAAAATAATTTAGCGACAATGAAGAAATATTTAAATAGGGTGAATAATATTTAAATGTCATTTAACTTAAAGAACTTGACTTACGCACACGTAGCGATAAATTTCATTTATATTTTTACGCTAATAACTGATTGCTCATCCTTTTTTTTTATTATTATGAATACGACGTTTCTTTTTTCGTCGTCGAAACATTTATTCGTAATTTAGCGATGAAATTTGAATAAAACATTTTATTAAATGAAAAGAATTATTCAACGAGTGTCTAATTCTATAAAAGCATGTTTCTGATAAAATGTGATTATGCATCAGATCGTGATTATGCATCAGATGGTAAAATGGATTGTGGTTGAATGAATTGTGAAACATTGAACAGAAAAATTTGAAAACCATGCTTTTTGTATAATTCATGTCGAAAACCAACATGGTAAAGGAAAATTATCTCATTTTGGAAAAAGCGATTATATTTTATTTTTAGCTTGTTTTTTCAATAAGTGATACAATTTCAATAATATACATTTGTATGCATGGATTTTGAATAAAATATATATATCAATTTCGTCAATATATATTTTATAATTACTAATTCGAATTATTAGTCAACATTTCTAAGCATTTTAAAATTTCTAAACACCTTATATGTCGTCTTAATCTTGTCGTCTAAAATTTTTAATTACCTGCTCTAGCATGTTTCGCAGAGCTATTTTACCAACTATTTGACTAAATTTTAACATTTTTAAAAATCTTTTTCTTTGCGTTACAACGGATAGAATTTTTTCATTAATATACTAATCAATTTTTTAGTACTTTAATTTGGGTTTTTGTAAAGAAAATTTTTTTTTTAAATTATACTGTCAAGTTTTTATTAAAAGAAAACTTAGAATTATTGCTTGCTCTGTGAATTAAATCTTGTTAAGAAATTAAAAACATTCTGCTGTTTAAAATTATTTGTTGCAAAACAGCTGATTATTTATAGAGTATACTATTTTTTTCGAAAAAAGAGGATAAGTTAGATTGTATTTTTTTATTGTTTCTCATGATTTCAGCATAGATTATCTAAAATAATGTTGATGTTTTACAGTTTACCACAAGGAGTATAAGGATAACGAACATTTAGAGCTATCGAATACGTAACCAAAATTTTTAAGCGTCTTAAAATATCTCAGTTTCTCATGGGACTTTTATGAGCTTTGAGCATCTGTGTAATAAAAGTTAAAATTAATTTTAAAAAAAATATTTTAATATTTTCATTAGGGGCACCTATTCTGGTACACTTAGTGCCTGATTTATCATAAGGCTAGAAAGGCCCAGTCCTAGGGCCCCTAAATGTTTCAAATAATTTATTTTTGTGTTTTTCCTTAAGAACCTTTTGTCAACTAAATGAATTAGTTGACAAAAATTTTAATAAAATATAAACCTAAATTTACTAACATAAAGTAATTTAATAATGTATAAATAATTTAAAGGTAGTTCATAAATAAACAGCAAATAAATATACGACCAGGGTCACTTGACAGTTCTGTACCTAGGACTCCCAAGTTTCTAGATGAGACCCCGATTCACCCTATCTGGTACATGGTACATTCAGTTAAATATGCAGTTTTGAATCAAATTTCAGCCTTAGGAGAATCAAACGTTAGGTTAACATGCTTTCTTTGATGATTGCTTTTGAGTATAACACAATAGAAACTTACTAAAAATTACATCTCTCCAATAAGAATAAAAATAAGCAAAAAAGCGTAAAAAATTTAGCATTTTTCAAGTATTCTTCTTCTAATTCTTATTATATATAAATAATTTGTGCATGTATAGCATGACCAAATCTACTAAATTCCAAGTGAACAAATTCTAGTAAAATCTGCTGTAGCTTTTTTTGTAGCTTTAGAGAATGTCATTCCAATGTTAAATGAATTTCTCGGAATGTGTCCAGCATAGCCACATGTAGTATTTTCGGTACGTTTTAGATCTTTTGCAATTTTTTGATGTTGCTGGATATAGTAGTCTTCTTCTTGCTTTGCTTTCAAATCTTCTTTGGAGGTTTCAAGAATATATCTAAATCTTAATCCAGCAATGAGGTGGGGTACCATGATTTCGTACGTATTGACTTCATACGTTTTAGGATGTAGAAAATGCCCTCTTGGTCCGAATCCTGGTAAACATCCCATATAACCCGGCTTCATATGAGGCTCTGGAGTAGAATATGGATTTTGATTTACATAGTTTTCTTTTCTCGGCATATTATTTTTTAATGACAGCCAACTTCAGAATGATTTGTATTTAATATCAAAGAAATATATTGTTTTGGTTTTGAATTTTAGTTCTTGTTAAATACAATAATTATTGAAAATTCTAATAGAATAATGATTTCAAATTAATTTTATTGTTGGCGGTAGTGACGATGAACAGTTACGAAATATCAGAAGTTATCAGCTTATGGCTTTCATAGTATCTTTAAAAATGCTGTTTTTAACTTGAAGACAATCTATAATCTAATTACAAATGCGTATGTATATTGATTAAAAACTGATCAAATTTCTTTTCCGCGTTGGTGCCTTGCAGTTTACTAATCGTTAGGACACGGTTCCCAGTTTAACACTGTAAACTGTTCTACCGTAATGTGCTCGACTTCACTGGTCAGTTGCCGGGCTACTAAGGTGAAGGAGCCATCCCCAGCCAGAGGATCAAAATCATGATGGCATGATCATCCTGAGGGATGCTTCCCAGACCATAGCGCAGCTCTAGTGCAACTTAAGTAAAGTATTTACCTACCTTCCATCTGTTCGCGTTGGTAACACAGAAATAAACTCTCTCTATCTCTTCCTGGTGACAGGCAGACCAACACTTGCTTATCCCGACTGGCTAGTAGACACCTGAAAAGTCTCACATTTTCTGCTAATCAAGAGATCTTTCCTCTTTGCCCTAAATGCCAACAAAACCAGGCATCACCTGAGCATATCTTGAACTGTTTAGGGCTGGACTCAGGGCCGGATTTAAGCTTGTCGGGGCCCTAAGCTACTGAAAACGATGAGGCCCTTTTAAGTTCAATTCTATTTTTATTCACCTAAAGTAAACTATCGTATTTTTTATTGCTGAATATTAACATTGCATTATTAAAAATTTGATAATATTGCTTGATTCTTAAATATATTGATTGTGATGGGACTATAATGTAGAGCCTTTCTATTATTACACATATTTTTTGAACGAGGAAAAAAACAGAAACTCATTTTAAGAACATCATAAGCACAAAGTAAAGATTTGGCATGTTAGAAGAACCATTATATGTTTAACAGAGTTTTTTTTCTTTCTTGAAATTCTGAATCTATGTTATTTGGAATTTTAAATGATTTTTTTTTTTTTTTTGCGAATTTTTGTTTCTAAATTATTTCTTTTTTAAACGTTACATTTCGCTTTGCTGCTCTATGACTTAGAAACATGAAATTATGAAGGTGTGTCAAAAATAAGCAAGGAGTTAGAAAGAACATAAGAAAATACAATTTGTTTATTAGTTTTTTTTTTATAACCGCCGTTGAACAACCGACTTAATTTGAGTTTACGACTACAAATGTTTAACTCCGTATAATATTGAATAGTCACCTTATAATTTTGAACTCAATCCAGAAGACAAGAGAATTGGATCAGTACACAGAAGTATTGATTTCTTGTGAGAACTTATAGGACTTTCTGACCACGGCAGATTTAACATTTACCAGTCACCATTTTATACATGGATATTCTTTGGCCGGCTGGATTCCAAATCCCATTCTCACAAACACGAGTTCAACGCCCGGCCAACCAGGCTATCCCGGCCAAATTATTAGTTCATTTTATAATAGTCATTGAACAGCCAACCCAATTTCGAGTTAAGACTTCTAATTTTAAACTCAATTCAGAAATTTTTGTCTTGGAGGGGGACGTTTTGATGGAACTGACCAGCATTTAAGTTACATGATGATGAAAACCACAAAAGCTTTCCACTGTCAGTCTGACAACAAGGGGACCTATGATCCGTCTACCACTGAGGATATTTTACTTCGGCACAGTGGCTGGTGTAAGCCGGGTGTAGAATTCGTATCGACCAGTCAACACTGGGATTCGAACTCAGTGCCCTTGAGTCCATCTTAACTTTGTAATAACTCTACAGGAGGTACCAATTTTATTGATTTGCCAAATTTTAGTCATTTTCAAAATGTAAATAGAAATTCAATCGTAATTTTTGTAGAATAAAAACATGGAAATAAACCGTTTTTCCTCTTAATCTGCAATGATTAATCAGAAGCAACCATGAGGGCTAGTGTGCAAAATGAACAGGGGGTGTAACTTTCTAGTTTTTTAAATACTTGTTAAATTATTAGTTTTTAACATGCATACTTTAAAAAAAATAAGAAATACATTTTTCAGTATTAAGAAATAATAATTAAAAACTGTCATCAGCTGGAATAGAACCCGCGATCTCACAGTTTTGTGTCAGATTTCATAATCATCAGC